ATTTTTGTTTGTTTTTTTAAATGTATTACATTTGCAGATGCGATGAAGGATGGTGATTAAAATATCGAAGGACGAGCTAGACGTCTTACATCCTCGTGGACGTGCGCATGTTCTGCCTACATTAACCTTTTTGAAATTGCGAATATGTAAAGTAATTTCTATTGGCGACCATAAAGATACTATTTCTCGATGCGCAACACGGACAATTGGGTCAGTTCAGAATCGCCTAATTAAGAAAATAGTAAGCAAGAGGCGATGTCACTAATAATAGTAATAGTAGTAGGAAAGGAATGATAATAGTTAATATGAAGCGAGATATCGTAGTCGTCGTCTGTTTTAGCAGTATAGCAAGCAAGCCAGCAAGCAAGCAATCGTATTGAAATTCAAAATGTGACCTTAACACACTAATCAATTGTTCTATTTGCATATTCGAATCGAATGAGAAATACGAAAAAGAAAAAAATGTCTGTCTGTATGAGAATAATTTCTAACGCGTAACCTACTTCCTCCCGAGCACTCTCCAAACACATCCATCCTTATTACACACACACACACACACACATATAAATGTATACGTATAGATATATATACATAATACCACAATGAATTTTATTTTTAGTTTCACTTTCGGAACTTCAAAAAGTTTCCAATCGATTCATACACACACACACACATGGAGGGCACAAATATTTATCCGAGTTTGCTCAACCGCAAATTGCGTCACAACGCCCGGCGTTTATCTTTTCCAACTTCTTTTTTTTTTGCTCTCTCTGGAGAAAATTTCGCCACTCTAGTGTACACATACATACACGACCATTCTATACGGACATATATTACATAAATACGTATATACAGGGACAAGAAGAAAAGATCCAAGCGCGATGTGTGTGTATGTGTGCGAGTGTTTACGACTACGACGCTTCAAGTGTGTCACCCAGTTAAAAACGAGCGCGGTATTTCGATCCATCCGTTAAATGTTAAATTAAGAATAAGAAAACATATTATTATACTATAGATAAGATGACTTTTATGATAATACCTCTCATCTTATTGCTAAACTTGCTAGTTGCTTTTGTTGCAGGTGGGGTCAAAAATTGCCGGAAGATCCAAGAATAACACAGCAAATGGTAGGTAGGTGATGAACTGGGCTTTAATGCCTGTAATGGGATAGGTGAACTGGGCTTATGCTGTAATGCTGTAGAATATTAAGTCATCACTAGGGCAACACGAAGAAATCCGAAATCCTTTCAAAAGTTTGTTGGGAAACCAGAGAAAAGGGGAACTTCATCGGTACTTTTTGCAACACGATAATGCAACTTTCTTGCGCTCAATTGGCATCAAATTGGAAAAGCTCCAAAAAGCCGATTTCTGAGGAATGTTTTGAAAGGGGCATCACCTGACTTAAGAAATGTATTAGAAATAAATGGAAATTATGTTGAGAAATTACAAAAGGATGAAAATTAAAAATATTAAAATAAAATTTTGTTTTATTTTTTCCAGCCAACTAAGCGAACTTTTGTTAGACCCCATGTATATGAAACGGTTGTCATGTATACCGTCTGAAACAGCTGTCGTCGTCGTCGTTATGCAATAAGAGGAAGAAGAGAGAGAGAGCATGCATACATGCGCGAGAATCGAGAGAGAGAGAGAGAGTGCGCATTTTTGGAGGACGGTAGGTAGGAGGAAGGTAAAGGGTTGTTGCATGCATTCGCTTGCAATAAATATCTTTTATATGAGAGAGATATTCTCTGTTTACCTGAGTGTAACACCAATTCTCTGCGACTGGGGTATTAACTTCCTGCGGCGGGGGGCTCGGCACACGGCTCACGGCCATACTGCTCGTGGAGTGCAGGTTGGAACTTACCCGTGCCGTCTGAGCGGTCGAGCAGTCACTCACCACCGGCAGCCTGCAACAAAAAAAAGGAACAACAAAAATTATTAAAAATCAACAGAAGATGAAAGAAGCAGAAACATTTAAATTATCATTAAAAGTATATTAACGTTAGTATTTCCTGCAGACGAGGGATGAACGAAGGAGCTGCAATAGCTACAAACATAATTCGAAGAAGCTGTTGAAGTGTATCAATTTATGAGGAATCAATCAGCTGCTGTTTACTATGATGATCATGAGTACGAGAGAAAAAGAGTAAACAACAATCTATTTCTAATTACGTTCGCACTCTCTCTCTCTCTCTGTCTATCTCCGTTCTTGAGTTTCAGTTTACTCAATGTACAAATGTTATTTTTCCGTTTCTAGGGCGAGAGGCGTTATGAAATGAGGTCTACTTTACTTTACTCTACTCTACTCCACTCTGCTCACAAATCCGTACGCATTCACACACACACATGCACATGGAAAAAGACGAAGGAGAAAGAGAGTAGGAGAGTCACGTACTATAAATTAAAATAACAATTAGGATCATTCGATTCGTTACGATTGAAAATCAGTAGTAGCAGTAGTAGAAGAAAGCATATTATAGTGATCCGATCACAGCGAAGATACAAGAATAAGAGCACGAAATTCAGAAAGGAAAAGAGATGAGTTAGCGTAGGAGGAGGAGGAGGAGGAAGAGACCCAGATTTCACTCTGATCTAAATCCAACTAGGTCTCCACATCGATACAACAAAAATAGATAAGAATATAAAGTAGTTTGAGAGAGAGAGAGAGAGATAGCAACATTATTTGACTCAATTCCTGCCACCATCGAAAGTAATGTTTATGATAATAGTGAAGTATCTTCATTCATCATACAAGAAAGGTGGCGGCGGCGGCGGCGGCGGCGGAGGAAAAGTTGCAAAAGTCAGGGAGAGAAAAGAACAACGAAATTATGTATATATATAGGTCAACATACAATTGAACTTGACACATGCTGCTTTGCGATTAGGAAAAACGCTTTTCCTGATCGCAATTTGCCTTCAAATGAATCGCTCCTTGACTTGGGAGGGGCGGAGTTATCAATTACAATTGTTCGAGGAGGAGGCTGTGATGGTGACAAAGAGTAAGAGAGAGAGAGAGAGGGAAGAGGTGGGAGGATCGCGACGCAGGCGTCGGATAATACTACTACCACCACCACCATCATCACCATCAAGGCAAAACACGTGCGACTCCCTCTCTCCTATCATCAAACGGCTGACGCCATCCTTTTGCCTGACCTTACGACGAACACGCTAATTAAATCTATTTAAAACTACCCGCGAGGTTGAACAAAAAAAAAATGACGAGCAGCAGGAAGTATTGAAAAAGGAAGAAAGGAAGAAAAATATACTTTAATCATCAAATGCTCCTCTTTACGGAAAGGCAACTATAATCTAAGCCGGCTGCTGCTGCCGCTGCTGTCGTTGCACGTGCTGCCGCCTGCCTACCTCTGCGGCGATCGAAGAACATTTTTTGGCGTTGGTTAGGTCAAGAAATCGACCATCTCTCCTTCTTTTCTTCCTTTTTCTCTTTATTCCTCTTACCCTCACTCGAAGAATGAGTGAGAGAGAGAGAGAGAGAGAGTAGGAGAAAACGACTTTATTTTTTTAGAGACGTGAGTGGGAAATCTTACCTAACCGATACCCTCCTACATCCACGTACGAAAGATGTATACATTTTATCGATTCCATCAGAATTCGCAAAACTACAGGGCAACTGTCATTACCATACCTCCTCGTATCACCTACGCACATTCCGATGCGCTTCTTCTTGCGCTTCCATTATTGTAAAGGCGACGACGACGACGAATCAAATACATTCACAAGAAGTGATCGTTTTGCGGAAAATCAGGCGGGCCTCGCGCGACAATTGATTTCTGATCCTCCGCAATTCAACCCTATTTCTATTATTCATCATCAACCGACCGACCGAACGACCGACGTTCAGCTTTAATTCGATAGGAGTCGGTTTAATAATAGCAGTAAGTAGCTTTGACCGAGGAGAGATCATTACACTCTTGAAGGCAGCAGCAGCAGCAGCATGCATATTATCGCGTGGAGAGCCGCAGAGGATGACCAAGTTTGAAGGTCGTCAGACCTAGTGCAATGCTCCCCTGCCGCAGCGGATCTTTAAGGACGCCGCGGTCATCGCACCGCAGCAGCAAACCGTACACTCTCAAACTTGCGCAGGTTATTCCTTTTTCTCCGCCACCGCCTCCTTCTTCATCTAATGCATACACCACCACACCACATGCGTTCATCGCACACTCGCTAACTAACTAACTTGATACAAATTTGGATCTGACAAACTGTCGGTTAATGACCGAGCCGAGCTTTCACGCGAAAGAAAGGTAGAAATCCATCTTTTCCAAACACCACACACCACCTCTGATAAGAGCGATCAACCAATCTCTACGTTCTTCTCTTTTTTTTTCTGTTCTTTTTTCTTTTCTTGAAGACTTTCACAAGCGTCTCGTAATATTTTCACCTATGCATTACGCAAAAAGAAATCTCCGTTCATTTTCCTTCATCGATCTCCTCCAATTAAATCGATAGACTGGAACAGAATCTGATGAATAACACGTAACATTCTGAGCAGCAGCAAAAGTGTATAAACGACATAGAGGTGACTTTCCTCACCTAGTAGTAAATCGAGGAGAAAAAAGGGAACAAAATCGCAGGTACCACAACTAAATATTTATATACAATATTCCCGAGGGTTGTTTTTGCATCCATCTTCTTCTACCTGATAAAATACATACGTAATATTGAAACGAACTTGCCCCAATTACACAACTTGTTAATCTTCACATTCGCAACACAGCGAGGATATTTATTATTATGTTTTAATAATTGACTAAATACTGAAAAGGTGAAACAAAAAGATAGAATCACCATCGACAAATAATATAAGTATGTAATAGACAAAACAAACAGCTTATTATCTTGAAGAGCAGTGCTAATTTTTCTAATTACGATTGTTCCTCTAATGCATTTTAAGGAGGAGATCCACCGCCTCCACCGTCGTCGACACTTTCTCGATTGCCCCCACCCACCCNNNATATATATATATAAGTTCGTGCCCTAGAAAAACGAAATTTGGAATCGGACAGAGAAAAGGAAAAAGACTGACCGACTGACTTTCTATACAATTCAAAGAGGACGAAACTAATTGGCACTTTCTCGACTTTGACTTCTTGCTCACCGATTCAAATTTTCCATGACTTCCCTCTTTCTTCTGAACACGAACAACATCCAACAAACAATCTTCTCCACTGACACAACAACAATTTTAATACACAACGAACTACCCCCCTCGAACGATCGAGAAGATTTCACGAGCAGTGGTAAACATTTGTGCGAGGGGTAGAGGGAGGGGTGCGAGTAGGCAGGCAGAAGAATCAGCAGCAAATCGTTTAACGGCTCGAACGTAGGCAGTACACGAAACACTAACTTTTCATCTACCTACCTAAACTGAAACCAAACCAACTACAACAGTACAATAGTAGTAACTACACTACGCGCAAACTACAGCCGAGACCGGCCGAGAAAGAAACACGTTTTCCTTCATCCAACCGATGCAGACGCCAAAAAGAGAAGGAGGTGGAGAACAAGCAGGTAACAATGAACCAACCGACCAACCAACAGCAGCAGTCGAAAACGAAGAAATGTTAAAGGAGGAGTCGCTCGGCCGTCCTTTGTTGCATGCTGCTACCCCTAGTTCGATAGAGACCGAGAGAGAGAGAAAGAGAGAGTAAGATATAATAATAGCGAACCAGCTGTTTGTTCTCCCTACGTGAGATTCATTGAACCATTACAAACAATAAGAGCTTCTTCAACAGCATCAACATATAATCTTAATAATCATAACGAACAAGGGGGGGGAAAAGACCGATATTCATTTATATACCCGTCAAGGGCTTCCTCGATACTAATACATCGTAACACGTTGGGGAGACAGAAAGAGAGTGCAACGTTTCTAAATGCAGAAGGAGACTAGAAGAAACAGCAAGTGCATTTTACCACGGGAAAGTGAAACGGGCGTGAAAGATGAGAAGGGAGCCGGCAACTCTTCTGAACGGATTTTATTTGCGTAACGATTTTCGTTTACGCTGAAGAGAACAACAAAAGGGAAAACAAGCGCCCGAGATGGTCGAGATGGAAAAAAATAAATAAAAGACAATTGAATCACTTCTGACTCAGAGCGAGAGTGAGCGAAGAGGAGAAGAGAGGAGAGGAGATCACCACTTTCACCCGACGTTATCTCTCATTTCTCAACAACCAATTGACGACGACGACGACGACTTTTTCATTCATTCATCATTTTAAACTTTACATAAGATCACACATTTAAACTATCCTAGTTTATTCGTTTTCGTTTAGTAGCAAAGGGTGTCTAAACACTCTTCGAGCAAGCAAACAGACAATCGGCATTACTTTCCAATTATTGTCGCAACGGCAACGGTCTGCACACACACACTCACACACATACATGTAACATTGTTCAATTGTGTTTGTTACAAAACGAGTGTGGGTTTAACGGCGCAGAGTGAAAGTGACCCTTATTCGAAGTCCGAGAGTTTCCACCGCACACCTCATTTTTCAACCTACTGCTCTGCACTGCACCACATTATAATAAATAGAAACAGCAATAAAATGCGTTCTGTAAATGTGTTGCAAAACAATGATTGCCGTTGTTACGAGGATCGATGGGGGAGATGCATCAAAGGTAACTTCAAAAAGAAAGAAAGAAAGAAAGAAAAGAGTGAATAAAGAGTTTTCCGAAGTGCTACAAAAGCTCTCCTTTTCTCTCTCCCTTTCACTGTTCTCGCGGTTCCCGGGTGAAACCAGGAAATATATCTCAATCGAGAAAGAGAGTTTAGCAAACAAAACGAAAATATAAACACACACATAAAAATATAAACGACGTTACAGGTCCTATTTACATTTTCGGATATTGAAAGAAACAAATTGCAGACAATTCTCGCTTAATTGCGATCTCTCTCTTTTAGTTTCAATTATTTTCGTGGTCGTTACACAAACAAACGCGCGGGACACAGCCTTACGAAATTACTATTCTCCTTCCTGAAAAAAGAAAAGGGGGGGTTGAGCAGAGTCGACTTGACCACCCTCGCAGCACCGCACCGTACACGTTAATGAATGCCGAAACCCTAATAGCAAATGGAGTTTCCCTCTCCACGTACGTACCCGAAAGATGACGCGACTCCCCTATTCTATGATATTCAGGAGGGGATGCGATTGGTTTGTCTGTCTCCCTAAAAACGCTGCAAGATTTTCCAACAGGCAAAAGAGGAAGATCGAAACCAAACCGTACACTCCCGACTGTTAGAAGGGGTTAGTTAGATGAATTGCATTGAAGCAATCGGCAATATTAATTTACGAGTGGATGACTTTGAGTGAAGGATGTGTGTGTGTGTGTTAGAGAGAGAGAGAAGAGACGGTTCTTGACATTGAAATCTAAATCCGTGCCGGGGGGAGAGAGAAGCGCAGCCGGCCGCAACCTCGAGATTCTTGTTACGAACTTTAGGAATGATTATGACGACGACGACGACGACGACCACGTCTTACTATCTTCTATCCGTCGTCTATCTATCTATATGTAGTGCGAGTGCGTGTGTATATGTAGCTAACTATACACAGTATATAGTTTATACTCGTTTCCCTTGAAGGGGGCCATCGGACCCAGGAGGTCGTTAGGAAGCGGTCATCGGCCGACGCCACACACACACACATACACATATATATATATAGATATAATCAACGCGCTTTTCATTTTTCACACATACACATACACACATGCACTGATAGAGGGAGAGACGAAGACTAGTCATACTTCAACACATACACATCTTAATTTACGGAATGGAAAATGTCGCAGCGAATATCTCTTACATTTTAGAATGTCTTTCTCTCTTCCTCATACACTCATACACACACACACACAAATTAATATTCGAAGCTAAAACAAGAAGCATACCCATGATAAATATTTCACCTTCAATGATCGCATTGAACCGGGCGAGTTATTTAAATTTTGGCCAGGATCCTTCAAAGTTTTCTTCTTCTTCTTCGGTACAACGACCAGAGGAGGATAAGAAAAAGAAGAAGAAGAAGAAGAGGTAGATGTAGACTCAGACAATACACCCATTAGGATGTAGATTAGAATGGAACCATCGATGGTGGAGGAGGAAGGAAGATATATATATATAACGGCTTAAAAGAATGGTGTGGCCCCGAGTGTGTGTGTGTGTGCGTGTCGGTATCATCAAGGTTCACGGCCGCCGCTAGTGTATTTCCTTCTCTCTCTCTCTCTCTCTCTCTCGCTCTCGTTCTGATTGTATCCAAAGAGGAGAGACGAATGTACGAGTGGAACGGAGACAAAGAACAATAATCCTCGACCATCCATCCGCTTCATCCGTATGAAAATAGAGCGAATTCTTCGATGATGCGAGCGACCGACCGACCGACCATCGAACCCCACACATAATCATCATCGCACAAGGATTTAATATATATATATGTATTTTTGTTTGTTGTGAAGGACAAATCCCTTATCGCGATTCGTAAGCGATACGAATCAGCCTTCGAGTCTTTCAGATAATTCGGAATTGCCGAAAAATAATAAAAGAGGTCACGAACCTTGGCTAATTCGTAGAAAATAGATAGAGATAGGTGGCCGTGCGGTGGGTTGTTTCGAAACGGACGTAAGAAGAGATGGATATTTCGACGGAGGAATAGATAGGTAGAGTTAGTTAGCTAAGAAGGTAGGTAGGTAGGTAGGTAGAGGTTGCTTCGAACAAACGAACGAACGAACGAACGAACTTTCTAAAACAGATTTCAACGGAAACTCAGCTCAGGTGAGCAACGAAACTTTTGGAGAGGCGCGACAGATAAATAGACCATCCCAGCCATTATAGATCGTATCGAATTACAAACACACACAATTTCGAACAGAAGAGAAAATCCTTCAACCACCCCCCAAGAAAGAGAGAGAGAGAAAAACACGACGAGATATTTGCATGAACCGTATATAACGCAATGGCATTCTCTCATTACTCTTTAAATTACCTGAAGCGTGTTAAAAATGAATATTATAGAGAGAGAGAGAGATACAGGGCAAGCAGACAGACAGACAGCAGTTATTTGTTCTTCAGTTACGTGATTATTCATCAAGCGTGCTCATTATTTTTACGTTTTTTTTTTTTCGGTAAGATTCGCAACACACACACACGATCTAATTAATAAACGTACATTGCCTTCGTTGCTGTTTCTTTCTTTCGCTATTCTTCTTTGCCAATGGTGCAAAATTAAAGTGTTGCGAATGTAATTTAACAATTAAGTAATTAATGGGCGTTGACCGGGGCGAAATTAGGCCAAACAACGCGCTCGTACGTGGTATTTGCACATCATCATCATCATTCTGATTAATAGAGCCTACCTCCCTCCATCGTCCACTTCTTTGCCCCTCGCACCACATTAAAACAATCGAACGCAGAAATATCAATTTATGACAGGTAGACTTATTGCAAAATAAGTGTACCATACGCCACAGGTGAGGGGGTGGTAGGTTAGTATACGCGAAGAGGAGAAGAGCAGATTGATGGTAGAGTGGTTTTTGTTATCGGGAACGAACGAACGATGATAGTTCGATGGTCGAAACATCATTGATTAGGCTGCTCCGCTTTCGTGCCTTATCTGCCGTGTGGTGTGGCAAGGCAAAAGGCAATGAGGAGATATTATATATTATGTTCACGTAAAGTGAGAGACGGAGAGAGAGAGAAACGCAATAATTTTCACCTTGGGAAAGAAGACAGAGAGAGAGAGTGTGATTTTCGGGGTTTTTCGTTGCTAAAGAGAGAAAGATGAGAAGGATAAATTAGGTCGCGTCCAAGGAAACAACGCGCGCTCGCATAACCACTTCCACGTTGGATTGGTGGTGGTTCATTCGTTCGTCCATTCGTTTCCCGACGCACTCTATAATGATGTATATACATCTCTACTGTACTCTGATTTGACGACAACGATGGAAAAGAGAGCTTTTACTTTTTGTGTGTCTGTGTGTGTGTCTGTATGCTTTTTTTCTTAAACGAACACTTTCTACAATGTACGCGGCGTTGTTCACACAGATTAAAAGAGAGAGAGATAGAAAGAAAGAGTTTTTATGTAACGAAGTCAAGGGAGTAAGTGTATGCGTAGGGCGACGGTGTCCACGCAACACTTTAAAAAGGCAAAAGAGAAATAGTGAATTGAATTGAAGAGAGAGAGAGAGATAGAGAGGTGCTCGTTTTCACCTTGTTCCAGTCTCCTCGCGCCGGCAAGCGAAACATATACACACACACACACCACATACGTTCGTACACAACAAGAGTTTCTTCTTATCCTTAGAGAAAAACGCTAATTTCATTGACACGCTGAACTTTCAAACGATGCCACCATCACCACCACCTTCGTCGTCGAAACGGGAACGTCCAATACAGTTCGATAAAGACCAACAAGTAAATTGCGATATTCATCCATTGCAAAGAGAAACAAATACGAACGAAATAAGTGGATGCGCCGGTGAAACGATATTAGATATTTGAGGGTTGGTCGTAGTTGGTGGTTTCAATGAAAAAAAAATCATTAAAATCAAGACACCTGTTGCCCAACAACAAAATACAATACAATCAATCAATCATTTACTATTACTATCATTACCTGAGACGACTGTCGGGCAGCTCGTACCCGATGAACTTGTAATAATCCAGAGCCTTCTCCGGTTTGGCGAAGAAGTACGTCCAGATTTTGCGGTGATTCGTCCCGCTCCACATAGTCTCGCGTTTCCTTTTGATTATTTTCAAAAATATTATATAGATGTGTGTGTGTACCAATGAAAAGTAGATTAAACCGGCAAATGGCTAAATCTCGCTAGACTAGATGCATGATGATCGATGATCTATGGTGATGATAAGGATGAGGATAACCCGGGGGGTGTGTGTTGATTAGTTTTCGCAAAAGATCACCACACACTACGGCAGCAAAAATACACACACGCGCGCGCGACGTTGCCAGAACTTTGGGGCGGACTGAGGAGGAGCGCGTGCGACGTGTGCGAAGGACCGCCTCCGATTTTTCGATGGTGGAGCAAGAGGAGGAGGAAGAGGAGGAACAGACCGACGAAATATATTTAAAAAAAAATGGCAAAAATTTTGTTGCGGAAGGTGGGGATCAGTCGGTGACCCCCAAAAACACACACACGCAATCAGACAGCACCCAGAAACGTTCGGACAAAACAAAAATTGACGACGACGACGAACCTATCTAATGGCATTATTGCTCCACAAACGATAAAAGAACGAAAAAATCCAAAAAAGGAAAGGCAACAGTGAGCGAACGATCGAATGAATGAGTACGTCCGTCCGTCCTCGTCGCGTAGGTGAATTGCGCGAGGAAGGAAAGTAAGCGAAAGAACGGACAGGGCAACAGCAATTAGCACGGGCGAATTTGGGACAGACGACGGACACCTTGAAAAAAAAAATATATTTCTCTTCCTCTGTCTCTCTCTCTCTCTCTCTCTCTTTTATTGTATTATTTCATCACAGACAGAGTAGAAACGAAAGAAAGAGAGAGAAAGAGATCTAGAACATAAAAGGGGGGAAATCATTCAGATGGATCTGATCCTGGGGGGAAAGAAGATAATTTTTATGTATTTTTTTTTTGAAAATGAGTTACGCGCGTGCGACAATTTTCGCTCGCGCAACTTTTATATCAATTATAGCCCCGAAGGTTGCCCGATCACTCTGCTGATTGAACTAAACTGAAAACACCATCTCTCTTACTTACCATACACACACACACTTTGTATTCGCTCTCTCATTCATACATCGTTCCCTTCAGGTTTCGCAAAGAGGCTCAGGTAGGTAGGTAGGTAGGTAGAAACGTCTGGTCTGGAGGAACCGGACACACTCAAAGGCAATGCCCTCTCTTTCTCTCACATCAGTCACCTTCTGCAGGGCCCGAAGGACACCAAAAAAGGAAGGAACAAACACCAACAACATCCAGACGCGTTCCTCCAATCCATACCACAACAAGATGATCATCATCAGCATCAGCATCATTACCATAACCGACAACAGCATCAAATTCACAATCTATTCGAAAGTAACGGTGAAATTACTGAACGTTGCAAGAAGATCGGGGGGGTAAGGGATTCGGGTCATTCGGTTTGATGAAAATCACGAGCATCGTGTAAGTAGAAACAGAACAGAAACAAATCTGACTTGAATCTTTCCAATAAATCATCGATTCAACAAAAAACGAAATACTGGGAGCAAATCGACCCAAAAGGCAAACTAAACTTCGTAACAATTGACATGACATCACAGACACACACGCGACCTCAAAACAAAACAAAAAAATTGGTTTCAATTGGTCACACACACACACACACATACAAACACGAGCGCGCGCGCACACACACACGTAAATATATGTAGTATAAATTTCCAAAAAAAGAAAAGTGAAACCGTTACGCAATAATCGACGCCTGCTATTCTCTCTATTTCGCGTGTAATCTCCTCACCTAACCGTGCTCGTACCAGCAGTAAGTAGCTTCTTCCTTTCATCGTTCCAAAATTAAAAAAGTAAAAGAAGAAATCGTTTTTGATTACTCACCTGCAACAGAAGAAGAAAGAAATTAGCATTTATTGTTTAAAAGAGAAAAAGACAACGTACACATTTACAAAGTCAATTGTTCATTTTTTGTTTTATATTGAGTGAATGTGATTTAATGGACAAAACGGATGCTCGATTCAAGCGGAAGATGCTGGAGATTTACAATTGTTTCTATATTACCTCAAAAACGAGCGCAACTGGAAGAAGTAAATGAAATTGATAAAGAAGATGAAATAGTGTGCGTGTTGGTTTCTATTTACGTTGGTATGATCTTAGTAGAATGGTAATCGATCGCTAAAGAGAAAGAGCACATGCACTTATTGCTTCGTACAATAAGTACATAGAGAGCAAAAAAAAAGAGGATGGCAACATCAAGAATCGTGTATTATAAAACGGAGGAGAACGCGAGGTGGCGGCGGCGACGACGCGCTGTTGTTGCGTAGCCTAGTTTCGGTCCCATAACCGGGTTTTAGCACCAGTTTATCTTAATATTTCGCGATTGGATAAACCGAGCGACCGACCGACCCACTACTACTACTATTAACTAAGCCAACTAATTCACAGCAGTAGCCCGAAGAGGATACGAAATACAATAATTAATCAAAAGGGCGTGTGACCTCTTCTTGTGGCTCTTCGATTATTCCCAACCATCTGAATAGTAACTAGTGAAAGTCGTCGAATTTGTTAAGGGTTGTTGGAATGGGAAAAGAGGAGAGAGAGAGAGAGACCCTTTCTCTCCTCCTCTCCTCTCCCCCATCGACTACCACGATGATGATGATGATGATAATAATAATAAGACACATACAATATAGAAAGTTAAATAAAGTAAAACCATGGTATGGCATGGCATTTGAATGCACCGTTTCATGGTGATATTAGTCGGCATTTTGGGGTCATTGAAAATCTCTAGATTGAGGCAACGAGCCGTGCTCTACATACAGCCTGACACACATACAAAAAAAATCGACAACGACGACGACGACAACGATGGAAACGACTAGTGGTGTGTGGGTGGGTTGGTATTGATAATTCCTCCCTTCGTCATATTATCAATCAATCAAAAAAGATTAATCATTTAACGTTAACAATTATAATTGCTTCCTTCCTCTTTAGAATAAGTAACGAATGATTTCCATCGTGACACATGCACTCTAACGTTACGCAATTTCCGATACATAAACACAAAATTTAATTGCGCACTTGAACAACAACAACAACAAACAAAAAAGAAACAGCGTTGGCACAACCGTAATCTTCGCCGCCTTCTCACCGCAAACGCTGCACATAATTCATTGTAATAGAATATTATTATTATTATTATTGTTTTGATAACGAATTTCCAGAACATTGCATAAATAATACACATACACGTGTGTGCTTACGTATTTTCGTATCTAAATTAAACGTTTATAATCGAGTGCGCTTTATTCGCGCTTGTTTTTTTTACTTTTTTACATTCATTTAGATAAGGGAGAAGGAGCTATTGTATCTACTTAATATTATCGTTATTACAAGACACAATAATATCCTAGCAACGAAAAGCAGCAGCATAAAGATTCCTCTGTTATTTCCAAGACCACCTGCGCGCGATTCGATACGAAACAGAAGATATCCCTAGATATCACTAGATTTGTATATATGCCCTGTGTAAAATTTATTGCAGGAGCAGATGAGCAATGTTTGGTTGAATCACTTTGGCATCTTTTAAGAAGAAAATTTCAATGACAACGACGAAACAGTAAACGAATTGAAAAGAAGAAAAATAAGAAGGAAGAGAGAAACACACCCGTCTGTCGTCGTTTCCGGTTGCTGTATGCATATCGAAGCGTCGAGTGTCGGTTTACACACGGTTCTTATACATGTAAAGCATACAGAAGAAAACGAAATAAAGCAAAATAAAATGTACGTGTTTCGTCAGATGCGAATTTCCATATGGAATGTGACGGGACGAAATTCAAGGGCAAAAACGGAGAGAAAGAAAAGACGATTAAAGTTAGATTGAAACAATTGAATCGATTATGAGACACACACACACACATACAGCCAAACAGAAAGCAGAACTGTGAACTTTCAATTGTCCCAAGTTTCACAAATTCAGACGTCAAATTTCCATAGCCTACTTGTACATTTTAAGAGCGAAATAGGACGACAACGACGACGCTTCCGTTCGTTTCCAAATTGAAGAAACTTTAGGGATCGAAGAAATCGATCGTATTTAGATGATTAACAAAAACACAGAGCACATGTGAATAATGATTGAAAATATGTTTTCTCTCTAGCACATTTACGAAATGGAATTATGAAAGAGAGACGCCGCGAGTCGAAGTAGGCGAGAATGGAGGAGAAGGAATAGGTGTATAAATATCAATGAGTAACCTCCATACATACGAATATTATTATTATTCAGTCAACCTTCGGATAAATTAGAAAATTACCGAAGCCATGTGTATCTCTCTGTGTGTGTGTGTGTATGTGTGTGTGTGTGTATGTGTGTGTGATCGATACACGTAATGCAAATGTAATGGAACAACAGGCACACACACACGCTCACATACAGCCACCAGCCTCCTCCACCCCCATTTCCTTCGTTCTTCTATTTTCTTTTTTCTTAATTAAACACACACACACATTAACACTTCAAATATGACCAACTTGTCATGATAATTGAAAAACGTATACAAATATTTATCTCCTACTGCAGATGAAGAATATAAAAATATATAGAAAAAAGTATGCACAATATGTCGATGATTCTCTTACCTGGCTAAAGCCATTCTGACATTAGTAAATCCAAATATAGATTCCCTCAGTTTGCTCTCTATTTTAAAATCCAGTGTGCCAGTTCCGATTATATCGGAGAAGGCGACGACGACGATGTTATTTCTTCTCTTTTGTTCCAGCAGCAGCAGCAGCAAAAGCACCTCCGCAGAAGATAGTGTGGACAGTGCTCCTCGTCCGTTCCAAAGGAGTCGGCAAATATTATCAGGGTTGGTCTTGGTCTTGGATTTCTTCAATTTATTTTGCCAACCAACTAACTAAATTCACTACTACTCACTACTAGTCTATATTATATACTACTTCTATACTCGTACGGGAATTCCCTTCTATACTGAATGACTGACTGACTGAACATCTAACAAAAATCTCGTCCGATTTCGCGCTTCTGTCTCGCTTGCACACAATGTTTTGTCTGTTTGTCTTTCTCTCTCTCTGTTCCGTTACTTCACACGCGACTATCGCCTGCGACGGATAGATTCAGACTGTAAAACGACGGTGACGACGGCAACTTCGGAGCGCAACGATTGCCCCCGTGCAAAGGAACGAACGGACGGACGCGCGTCGCGCTCTCTGCGCCTTCCTCCTCCACCTCCAACTCCACATGTTGCCACATCGTCTCCGAAATCGCTACCAACGTTTTCTGCGAAACTCCAAGCAACGACCACCAACCCCAAAAACCCAACGTGAACGTTGGAGTCACGACGTCAATCATCTCAAAAAACACAAACAACAATTACAAATAGCAAATTACTTTGGGAGGGAGGGAGGTAGGTAGACATTACATTTCCATTATTTTGTAGGTGTTTGTTTTGCAAATTGTGAAATTGCAGTTCCGCGGAGAGGAAGGAAAGTGGCGTGAATGGAAAATAGAAATAAACAGAATCGAAATGTGTGCTCGCAGATTGCTTGTGAAAGTAGTGTGCGTTATTGTTATTAAATCGACTGAAACGGCGAAACTTTTAAACCGATTTTTACCTAATTCCCAAGAGTATGGATGAAAACGACCGAAAATAGTGCTCGAAGATTATTGTTAGTAATTAATGTACGCGAATAGTCTCCGTTATGCGACGAACAACATCCGATTGGAATCGTTCCACATGAGACGCCGTCCTCTTTTTTTTTTCAAGAGTAGATAGAAGAAGAGCCACGAGGAGAAGAATAAGAAGACGACGTAGATGAAGAAAGAAAGAAAGAGTTCCGTTAACAAAATCAGTCTGAAGAGGAAATATGCGTGGAATATGAGTTCATAGAATGTCCCGTTAGATGTGGGTGGATGGTTTCATCTAAATGAAACAATTTGCAGAAGCATCTTCGGATGTGTGTGTACGTGGCAACGGCGCCGGTCTCTGGTGCCGCATGCGAGGAGTCCTTGATAATAGAGAGAGAGAAAGAGAGAAGAGGGTTGCACTCTCTGCGCAAGGACCTTCCGCCGCCGCCACCACCGACGACGACGACGAGAGGGGTGGTTTGTAGGTCTGCAAGCAAATCGTTAGCGACACCCCCTCGACCCCTTTACCGCCACGCCACGTCCTTTCCTACTAACGCCCTTTTTGCATAAAACCGACGACCCAACGAATCGCGCAAGCAACAACTTTGATTGATAATCTACGGAAACTTAATAGCGTTAGCTTAATCACTATTTCCATGAAAACGTGAACTATCTACTGTCGTCACCTTGTGCATTGGAAATGTGCGGCCGCTCGTAATAATACCGACACATTGTGTGTGTATAAATATATCGAATATGGAAAAGAGCGATTGGATAAGTGGAGAGAAGAGAATAGGGAAGGGAAGAAACGACACGTGCGGCCCGCCGTCGTTTCACGGACATCGGGGGCGGCGACACGCAGATCTTAAAGAAGGCAAAGAGAGAGAGAGACAAACACGATCAGACCAAAAATATGCGTGTGTGTGTGTGTCACCTTCTTACGCATTGCCGTAGTTACCATGCATGCATAACCTTTCGCCTCTCTCTCTCGCTCTCTCGCATACTTTTTTTATACTTGATCTATGGTCGGTCGGATCGCGGTAACCCCGAAATCTGAGGAGAACACGAAACGCGAAAACAGATCGAATGTCGAGAAAAGGAGAAGAAGGTTGTGCTGGCTCTCCTCCGGTGGCCTCTTCGCACACAATTCTCAGGAAAAAGAAAAAAAAAAACGAGATATTCAAAGTCAATGGAGAAACGATACGAGATGATGAAACAATTTACAATTAAGATGATGATAATGATAGTTTAATGAATGAAAGATAGATAGAAATATTCGAATTGTGTGGATACATCTATATCGTCCGTTCGTGTACATTTCGTGCGCACTTACATACTCGCTCATACTTACTACATACACATATGTACGTACGTACACGCAACACAGTGTAACCTCCCCGAGCGAGGTCAATATTTAGTGACCTCTACCGAACGGAGGCGACTCTCACTAAAAAATCAATTACACTTATCTCTCTTTCTCATTCTAAATCATTCTAAACTTAATGTTTTACATTAAACATCTCTTCTTTTCGACTAGGTCTCCTCCCTCCTATTCGTACAACAACAGCCAACGTGTTGTACGATGATACACTTCCAACACACACACACACACACAACATTTACCACACCACCACTAATCGCTTGGATAGGTCGGCTTGTCTTGGCGAAGGTCGGGCTATTTTCGTGTGGTCTTCTCTCCACTTGATTTCACGTTTAACGCTGCTTACACGGGACACGTCGTTCGGTTCAAGGGTAACACAAATTTCGTGTTTCTATTTTCGAAAAAGAAAAAAATAATAGAATAAAAATAAAATAAAATAAAAAACATTATTAGCAAAATTAATGTTGGACGTGCGAAAAGCACGTCGATCCACGTGCGAAAGAGGGAGGGAGGGAGGTCGGCAGAGAGAGAGAGAAAAAAGGAAATCGCTCATTATTATCCTGCAACCATGACAGATAGCTTTCGTTTTGTTAATAATGTGTCGTGTCGTTGCCAAGGTTACTATTTTACACTTTACACAGCAACACCTTATCTACTTAACGGATTCCTGTCTGTGGTGTTGTTTCGTCGTCGTTTGCGCTCTTTTACGAAGGCATTCTTTTATTTTCATCACTGGATAAAATGTAATCACATCAGTTCCCTTTCTCTTTCTCTCTCTCTTATTTTCAATTTACAATTTCGATGGATCGGGAAGATAAATTCTGATGATTCTGAAAGGACGTAAAGCAATGTTTTGATAGGTAGGACTGCAGGTAGTCATAGACAACAACAATCCAATGATACGCACTCATATAATGATAATTAATGTAATAGAAAGAGAGAGACAGAGAGAGAGATAAAGAGTGTTAATGTGAACAGACATCTGGAACGAGCATATATATTCTAAATCCGTTCCTTAAAAATATCCTCTTTTACATTGAGCAAGTGAGCGAGCAAGCGATTTCGTGTCCCCCCCCGAAGGAGCCGACTCTCAGGCTGCTGCTTGCCACATACTTGCTACATAAAGTGGCAATAAATGGAGCGGAACGATTCGAATGATTTAGTAGAAATGAACCTTTTATTTCTGCTAAGACAGACATACGCCCGCCCCGCCAGCCAGCAAGTAAACGAGAAACCGAAGGGCGCCCTCCTTTCTGCAAACCGATCTCAACATCCACATGCACACAAAGACCGTGCAATTTCATTTAGCTTCTCTTTTTTATTGTTGTTGTTGTTAAGGCCATGACTCATTTGTTCGTAGCACCGCAATTGCCGTAATTGCGCCCGAAGAACAATTAATAATTACGCAAAAGCAGATAAATACCCGAATTCCGAATTCAAAGTGTTCGCGATAGAAGAAGACGAAAGAGGGGAGTCAACGATGGACGGCCAATGCAATCCCCCGCCAATCGATACGCTGTATGCGACCACTCCTGTTGCAGTGTCGCGACGGTTGCCCACGCTCGTCGCCGACCGTCAGCTGTTCTCATCTGACAGTTGTCCGTGTTTTTTTTTGTTGTTGTTGTTGTTGATGGCAACAAAACATAACCGCACAATTTATTTTTAAATCGAAATTCCTACTGGCATCTCTACGGTGTACCGATGCGATGATACTCCACACACATAGATGTGTGTATATATATATATATACTACGTACTGCATCGAAATGATTTGCAATCTCTTTGAGGCTGTTTATTTTAGGGTGCATGACCTAAAAGTCCAATTCGGCGCGACGAAACGATTGGACGATTCGATATTGTCATCATAACCTTCGTTTAACGAAAACAAATCGCAAACGACAGGAGTCAAGGTTACGCGAGAGGGGCGCGCGCTTTGTACGTTTATATGAATGTTGTTTTTTTTTGTTGTTGTTGTTGCAATTTCCTTGGCGACACTGATAGGGATCGCAGTTACAAATGGTAGTAAATGTCCGTGCAAACAAAAGGATACGAATGCTACTTCTTCGGATGGTGTCGCTGTTTTGGTTGCTGTTGTTGTTGTTGAACGTATTATAAAGAGGAAAACTTACATAATTTCAGGGGGCGATCCATGGTCCGCTGTTGCTGCTCGTTGCGACGAATGTTTCCCCCCACCGATGTAGGAGGCACTGGTGCCGTCGCCGTTGCTCCTGTTGGCCTTCTTGGTGTGGGGCCGCTGCTGCTGCTGCTGCTGCTGGGCTCTAGTCAACATTCACCAGCAAATATAAACACAAACACCTTATCCTCCCCTGGGCCCCTGTGTCTTCTTCTATCCTGAACGTCGTCGTCGATGTCGTCCGTGAAGTGCACGATCGGAGGAGAGGTCACAGATTCAGAATCACTTCTGAAAACTTTCGTGCTTTTCTCTTCTATCACACTCTATCTCTCTCTCTCTCTATCAATCTTTAATTATATTATACGCGACTCCGCGAAGATTTCGTAGCCGTCTTCGTGTTCTATATAACTATAAATTCCGCGCAGAAACGGGCGACACGGTTCTTGCAAATTCGCATAAAAGAACGGCCAAGTTTATAGCCGAACGTCAATCGCCATCTTGAACTGACTGACTGTTCCTCAACGGCACCGCTGGTTGCATACGAAGAAAAAAAAATAGAATGAGGCACGGTCGTCGAAGTTAGGCAACTCAACGTACATCGCGTAATCAAATCACAAAATTACAAACTCGATAATTTTAAAATTAAACCAATTCTTTTTGATAAAAATGATAACGAAGGCATCAATGATTTAGGTCTAAAAACAAATTATTTTCTTTGAGATCATTATATATATATGCATGTATATATTTAAATATAAAATTTACTACCACTCTTGATCATATACGTGACATGTAGATCTGTTGATTGAATAATGAAAAGGAAGGAACGTGCGATTTGTTGAATGAAAGATATTTAGAAAAATACTTGAAAGAAAACGAAAGATTATAATCAATAGTAATAATTATTATCATCAACATCATTATAGAATAATTATAGTAGTAGTGGTACAAGGAAATAATAATAATAGCAAGAAAAAAAATAATAGAATATAATCATGGTTGACCATGAAACAATCGACAAAAAAAAACAAAAGATGGAAACGTGTGATATAAATGATGACATAACAAAGGGGCAATCGGTGATATGGAAAAGGGGCACAAGGGGAGGGGGGTGTGGTTGCTTCAGATTGCTTTAAAAAATTATGATAAAGTAATAATAATGTTAATGAGAATAAATGAATTGACAATTTCATCTTTACTTTTTAACAAAATAAAAGGTTTTGCGATTCCCGTGCGATCCGAAGGACGCCAAAACAAAAACAACATAAAGTAGTGAGGAAGTTTGCTCGGATGGATTTTCGAAAAACAAAAGAAACAATTTGAAAAAAAAAAACGAATCGTATAATAATCATAAAGGGGGTGAGAGGGGGGACGTAGTTTGGCGATCACTTCGAATCAATGGAAACGCCTCTAATAATAGTAATAAAGTCATCGTAATAGTATATATAAATCTATATATATATATATGTAACACAATCGAAAATAAAATTAAAAAAATCGTCGCTCGTACACGAAGAAACAGGCGCGCGCGCGCACATCATCATAATCTTCTCCTCTTTTCTCTTCATATAAAGAAAGAACATCTGTTCGATCCATGGATATACATGTGTACAAATATTAAAAAATAAACGTAATTAAAATGAAAGAAAACAAAAGAACATCTCTGCCAATACACGTGTGTATGTATAAACATATATAATAATAGTTGTTGTTATTATTTTGTAAACAGTCGTAGAGAGCGGAAGAGTAGAAAAGAAACAAGCAAGTTGTGTGTGGCCCAGTCCAGTGCTTCTCTTCCGCTCCGATCCACATCTCACTATTTCTCATTTCTCCTCCAACGCCGCCTTAATTATACATTTAAAACAAAAGAAAAAACTATATATATTAACGAAAATATCATGTATATCTTGTGTGGGGGGGGTGTGGTTGTTGTTTGTTTCATTTGTTTGTTTGTTATGTGTGTTTGTGTGTGTCTGTGTGTGAATGGTGTTTTTTTTTTCCAAAGGGAGGAATTCACTGGCCAGCTACGATACATCAACATCATCATCACTTCAGTTTAGTTTATAATGATGTAGAAACTACAGTAATCTTGCATAAAAAATATAATAATAAACATACTACTTTCAAAAAAAAACAAACAAAAAAAAACCCAGGAGAGAAAAGAAAGAAAAAGAAACAAGACTGAAACTATGTATTTCACATATGAAGAAGAAAAAAAAGAAGTTATGCTCTCATCATCTATATATACAATTTAGATATATATATATATTAATTCATATATATAGATAACATAACAATGATCACTATCATTTATAATATACAACTTTGTGTGTTAGAAATGTATCCTCTCTGATCATCGCAATTACAATTCTTCTTGAATCAATCGAAACACATATGAAAAAAGAAAAAAAAAAGTTGATCCAAAAATTAAATTATTAATCCATAATAATAACAATAATGCACTTGTTTTGTATCCAAATATAAATAAATATATATATATATCTAAAGGAAGAAAAGAAACAATTATTTTCTTTGTCATTCCACAGCTCAAAGGAGGATTCCATCCGACTCGTAGTCAGTTTTTGGACCCAATTTTTTTTTTCTTTCATATGTGCTAAACTTATTCAAGAAAAAAATTAAAAATAATTTTGTTTTCTTCTTCTTTTTCAATATAAATATAAAATATTACCTAAAAAATTTCTCCTCGTCCACTGCCAAATACATTTCTTTTAATTCCACTTGATCTATGCCCGTTGATGTACATATTCTTCATTAATTGTTACTTTTTGTGTGTGAGTGTGTGTGTTTGTATGTGAGTTAGTTTCCTGCTTTCATCGAGACTCAAATTATTTTCTTTTTTTTTGTGTTAAATTTATATTCATACTGTTTCATTCTTCCTCTTTTCTCCAATTGATGTTTTTTTTTATACAATTTATTTATGTTTTGTATTAATATTTAGAGTAGCACAGCCAGGTGTGTCATCTCACTTTTTGTCACCAATCATACTGAAACTAATATAGTTTTCACCATTGGTCACTTCTCCTTCGTCATCATCATCTTCTTTTTCTCCTCTTCCTCTTCCTCCTCCTCACATCGTCGTCTTATATTTATTTTCTGTTTTAATATTTGCAATCACTAATTATCGGCCGGCTCGACATCCTCCAGTTTCCGCTTCTTGCCCCTCACGTGAGCTGCAATAGAAATCAAATTGTTAATCAAATCTGTTTTTGTTGTTGTTGTTGTTGTAATGTGTTTTCCTGCGATTAATGTGAATTTGCATACCTTTAGATGGTAACTCTGCTGCTTCATCTTCCTCCTCGTCTTCGAACGACTCTTCCTCGACGGCCTCAACGTCCGATTCCTCGACGGATTCGTACTCATCCTCGTAGTCGTCCTCGTCGGACATGTCGTCCAAATTCTCAGAGTAAATGGTCCCCAGGCCTACATGACCGTAGTCGTCCTCGTCGGAGCAGCTTGCCTCCTCCTCCGATTCGTCCTCGTTGCCGTTGACCTCCTCCTCGGCCTCGCTGTCCTCCGCTTCGCGATCCTCAGCATCGAAACCGTCCAAGTACTTCAAGCTCGGAATGAGCCTGAATATCTTGTCCCTGTAGTTGTCCAGCAGATTCTGCACGTCGTTGTTGAACAGATCCAAATTCTTCAGGGACCTGAAATCCTTGAGCGGTTGCAGTGCTTCCAGGTCGCGAATTTTGTTGCCGCTCAGGTTCAAGTATGTCAGCTTGGGGCTCGTCGATAACGCGTTCAATCCATTATTGATTCTTAATAAATAAAACAAAATATGAATCAAAATGGATATTCATCTTTTAAATAGAGAAATAGTCTACCTGTTATCACTTAATTCTAGTTTCTTGAGGTTGGGAAGTTTCGGGAATCCTTTCAGAGATGTGAGCCCCACATTTATCAAACTTAAGCTCTCCAAATTGCTGAAAGCATCTGTTAAACCGATGATGGTTGTGCTTCGACAATTGTCCAGAATCAGTTCCTTTATCTGTAAACATTTTAATCAATCATCAAATTTCATTATAACCATACAATGCATCCTACTTTTCAGCTAGATAATGCATGTAGTAATTTGTTTTAAATTACTGATGACAGAAAGATGTAAATAAAAACGTGCATTTTATAAAAACTCTTCATGACACAAAAATAATATATATATATATAATAACCAATACTAGATTACAGCTTATGATGTGGAATTTTCCATTAATTTTCAGGTACTATGATTCATAGCATGTTTATAATATTGAAAAAATATGTTCAGTGTTGGAGTTAAATTACATCAACAGATTTTAAAGAAATGTTCTTCTAGATAAAAAAAAATATGGATTCGTTCTAATGTTACATTTTTCTTAAAGTTACCAAAGTTTTCTGAGCAGATATTTGCGAGTGTTAAAAGATAATTAGGTCATCATCAAAATCCACTGGTAACAAAGTGGTGATGGGGCAGAATGCATGGTGTAGGAAAATGGAAATAGTCGACGTGATTGCAATAAAGGGAGGCAAACATACATAGACGATGCGATGCACACGCACGTACACTGCAAAGTAGAGGGCAACAACTACGACGAAGATGATGATTATGATGGTGGTGGTGGTGTTGATTTGTTTTGGGGGACCACCAGAAAACGTGCAACAGTGGATGCATTATAATATACTCACATCTTTTGGCTCCTTGCCCCTTCGCTCCAGATCTATCCTCTTTTCCATATTTCCGTCTTCCCCCTTCTGCACGGCCGAAGAAATAGATTCGAAAAGAGAGACGCCGCCTTCTGCTGGTGCGTTGTGGCCCTGCGGTCAGTATTCGGTCAGTCGCTCGGAAAACTCCTCTCCTCTCTCAGCCGATGGGCGAACTCTCATATGTGCACTACGTGATCTCGATTGGAAGTGATCGTAGATGGTGGTAGTAACGTGTGCTTCTAGCTGCTTCCTGCTGCTACACACACACACATGTACACACAAAGTAGAGTATATAGAAAATGCAATGCGCGGCGCTGCAATGTCCGTCGTCGTCCGTTGAGATGTGTACACACACTGACACACGCACGCACGCAGACACAGTCGCACTCGAACCTCTCTCTCTTTCTCTCTCGCTCTTACACTTCCTTTCTGCCTACCTACATACCTTCTTCTTCTTCGCTCGCTCGCTGCTACTGCTGTTGCCGCCGCCGCCTTCGCCGCCTCCTATGGTATAGCCTCGAACCACTGCACGACTGCTACCGCGACGACACCTATCTCACACTCTCTCGTTAACTGTTTTGCCTTGTCGTCGTCGCTTCTTCCGGATTGCTTGCTCGTTCAATGCTAATTACAATAGAAAATAGCAATAATAGTTGTACGTAGACTAAGTAGACAAGAAGAAAATGAAATCAAACGCGTCGTTTTTTCTGTACATGCATTTAGTATATCGCCCCCTCCTCACTTCAACCTAGCCACTGCTAGCCACCCCACACCCCTCTTTAAACTCAATAAACACTCTCTCTCTCTCACACACTCACATAAATGTGCATGTATTTGTATATTAGATGTTTATGTATACGTAAACACAGAGGTATGCATGCGTATAATGTATAGGCAATATGCTAACATCGGTGTATGTGTGTGTGACAGTCATCGATTAGCGGCCGAGGAGTGAGCGAGAAAGAGAGAGAGAGATAGGACGATGGGGCGAAGTTCAATGGTTCGCTAGAGGGGTACTCACAATAACAGTGGACGACGGCGGCGACAACTTTGGCGCGAAATACACACCTGCGCGCGTTTCGTCCCACAAAAAGATGAACGAGGACGAAAAAATTTGAAAAGGAAAAGAAAGAAAGAAAGAAAAAAAAAACAAAATGGTCTTACCAATCGCTACTGCTTCTGAACGAACAACACTAATTTCGAATCGAAAATATCTCTCGCTCTCATCACGCGAATTACGATGTTGTGCAACGTCTTTCTCGCTTGCTGCTGCTAATGTTGTTATTGTTGTTGTTGTTTCACCGTTGTATTGTTTGAGCGGTCGAATTGATTTCACTTATTGTGTTTCTCTGGTGTACTGCTTGCGCTGATGATGATGATGATGATCATGCGACACGCACGCCAAAGACGCCACAGCGGGAAAACACAAAAAACAACACACACACGACATATGCACGTACACGCTAGAAACAAAACTCTCGCGCTCTTCTTCGCGCCCCATTGACAACTCACTTATTTCCGGTTTACTTCAACTATAATCATTATTTTACTCACCAATTAGCGCACCTTCGATCACTATTTAAACACAATTTGCATTATTTCGTGCGATGATCCGTTAATTATTATTTATTGCAACTTGAAAACATCAAACAATTAAACCTTACGCTTTTTAGCAAACTTGAAGAAAAATAATACACAACATCGTAGACTCATTTGTTTTTAATCGAATACGGCAACTTTGAAAAAAGAAATTATTTGTTGTTGTTTAATTAATGAAAATGCAACGAACTGTACCTGCATCCATTTCGCGCACAATAAAGTGCTTACAATGTTTACGAATTTGAAATTATTCTGTGTATATGGTAATTGTTTTTTTTACTTCTCTTGCAAAGACTCATTATAGATTAAATAATGTTCCGCGATTCGTGTTCATTCAGATTTAAATATTTCGTACAATTCAATTAGCATATATGAATGATATGCGAGTAGAAAATTTATCGATGCACGTGCGGTTGCATATCTGGAATGTGTCATTTCTAATTGGTTCGGTTGTGCGGCGAGAGATGTCTCTTGCTGACAGGTGCAATCGGTCGGTGCACTTGGTGCGGCGTTGTTCTGATGCCAAGAAGAGGAGGGTGTCCGTGCTGCGTCGTCGGAATCCGGCCCGGCGATGCTCAGTTGGTTGAGTGAGCTCGGTCAGTGTTGAGGCGTATTTCTCTGGTGCTGCTGCTGCTGCTCTTGGGAAGTTCCAGGACTTCGTGCGTGCAGCCGTGTGCATATATACACACAAACACACGAGTAAAAGAGAGCGAGATAGTAAAAGAGGAGGAAGAGGATCGTCAGTGTTATTAAAGTGCGAAACTGTTGTTAACATTTCTTCCCTAAACGAAGCAGCAGGCATGGCGGAGAGTAGAAGTTCTTTGCTGGCCAAGTCCGTGCAGAAGCACGCAGGAAGAGCGAAAGAAAAGGTCAGTGACTTTTTCCCATTCCATCGCAATTACTAAATAAATAAATAAATAAATAACCGAGCGCATAGATGATAAAATGTGTAAATATACAGTCAACCCCCCCTGTAATTTGTTGCTGCTGCTGCCTCCAGCTGGACTCGACCTCTCCGTTCTGAGGGTGCGTCTTTTAGGGGTTATGTTCGTTTGTTTTTGTTATGCTTTTGTTTCTTTTCGAAATTGTCATTTGTGACGAGGGGTCGTCTGCATCCCTCCGGTCCCGTTCCTTAAATAGTGCGCGGAAAAAGAAAAGAAAGGAACGGGTTTCGAAAGACATGGGCAGAAACGACGGACACACCGTGTGTCTGCCTATAAATGGTCACACGAAAAGCCTCCTCTGCAGCACAGGCTCGATCGCCGCAGCCTACATACAAAATTTAAATATCCGAGTTGGCCAATGGGATTCCAATTGGAGAAATAAAAAAATAAAATATGTAGCTATGACAACGACGTTTCTCTTGGTTACCAGACTAGACGATAAGCTGCGTGTGTCCGCGCGAGATGAAAAGAGATAGATATTAATTGGTACGCCAACACAGGAACACGCATTAACAAATGATGATAATTCTCTACTTTGATGCACACGATCATTCATAAATAGGAAGAAGAAGAAGAAGTCGTGGGAAATCTCGTACCATTACGCGGCGCTACGCTTATGTAACGAGCGCGAAACAATTGCGCGTTTCTCGGAGCGTCAGGTGCTCTTTTTTTTGCCACCTTGATTTTGCGCGACGAAAGGGAGGAAAAAAAAACGCGCGTCGTCGATTCTTCGGGGGGAATGTCCGGAATGTCTTAGGGCCGTTGCGTGCAGCCAGCCCCCTTGGCAACAGGTGTTCCCATTCGGCCGGATCGGAGTACCGAATTCGGTCGTTCATATTCAAGTTTGCACAGTTGGTCAGTTCGGAAAAGAAAAAAACATTTTGCCAACTATTTAAATTGAAACAAATTTCCCGGATCGCAGCGAGCAGCCACCTGCAAATAAACGAAATCCCCCGAGGTTCCGAAAATAGGCCTAATACGTCCACACAAACACATCATATATATATCTATATATTCGCTTTATTATTACGTCGGTTTATAAATAATTTTAATGGTTCTGATACACACACACACTCATATAGACAAAGTTACGCCTCCAGGAATAAACTGGTTGCGGTCATTAACGCGTTCGCAATGCTCTGCACCCAAAAATAACAACAACATAAAAAGGAGAAGCGCGACATCTCTTCGATCAATATCACTCACTCCCCTATTATTATTTCTTATTGTTGGTATCTGCAACATGACAAGAGAAGACATACTTTATTCCGATGTTTGTCTCGTATTTATTAATCATTAGGAATGTGTCGTGTCTTGCCAAAAGTTGGAGGCGTTGAGACTCCATCGTTGCCGCCGCCGTCTACATACGTCTTACGTACGTGTGCTATTCATCAGCAAACCTAAATGTATCGGTCAGATCGAGCGTGGAAGAGTAATTTGCGAATTGAAATATCAGAAACAAGAGAGAGAGAGAGAGAGAGAGCGCGTGGGTGCGCCTTCCTCCACCGGCGACTTGATAAATAATAATCATTGTTTCAAGAAATGTCCGTTTTTTCTCTTTCTCTCTCTTGTCAAACAATAATAATAATAATAAACGGACATTCCTCAAGCAAACAGGTTATAAACTTGTACAGGTGCAAGTTAGAACGGGCGACAAAAAGATAATGAGCATTTGAAGATAATACATGAGAAATTGAATAGAGATGATGATGATGACGGTGAAAGAGAGAAGCGCTCCGAAAAGGGACGATGATGATGCATTGTTATGTAAATGCAACGAATGGAATCCGCACCGAATGGAATGTTGTAAATGCGAAAGAGATGCTGAGCTCCGACGATGCTGCTGTCTGATGTGATGATGGTAGTAGAAATATTCGACACACTTTCTCACGAAAGTAGGAAAATGCTTTCCAATTGCTCTCCTCCTTTTCTTCCTCATCATCAACATCATCTTCTTCAACATCAACAACATTTCTCTCTCTCTCTCTCTGTTTCTCCTATTGGTTCTTGCATCGAGGACTGGACTTACATACTTGATTCAAACACATTCATATAACTGGACTGTTGTTGGTCGTCCTTCCCTTTCTCGCGTTTTGCCGCACCTCTTCTCTCTCTCTCTCTCTCTCTCCATCGTCGAACAAGGTCCATCGAAATAACACAAATTCTGCGCTCCACCACGATCCACGCTTAATTAACACGACAATTAACCAAGTTCAATGTGCAACTTTTCTTCAATTCGCTCAACTTTACAGGATCACCCAACAAATTGTATTTGCTCGTTTCATTTATACAGAAATATCATTTACTCTTGTAAATGTAAAGTGAGTTTTAAGTTTGCTTTAGGAAGTAGTTGTCAATATCGTAAAAGCACACATATTGATAGTTTACGGAGAAAGTTACATCTAATTAGAAAACTATTCGATTTCCCCGATGCATCATGCACCATTAACAGCATTCAAATTTAAGAGAAAACTAAGATTAATCATTATGCAATTAACATTGAGACGTAACCTATTAAAGTTTACTATTTGATCGTAATCAATGGAGAATTTCGTATTATGTTATCTCATCGTTACGATTTGCGATTGCGATTACAGCTTTAAAATAATAATTTACAAACAAAAAAAAATACGTTATCTCTTGAAAGAAGAAGAAAAAACTCTCATTGTATGCTCAAAGCGATGCCGATAGTGCGTAATATGGATGAATGTAGAGGAGGAGGGGAAGGAGGAGGAGTGGGAAGGCCGAAATAGCTTAATTGCCTTAATTAAATCTAAATACCTTTGCAATCAAAGGCGAAACATGTGAGCAAAGAAACGCGTATTCGTTACGAGTTCGCGTCACGTTCCCAAGGATACTCGAATATTATAATTTTTTTGTTTTTTTTTCTCTTTTCGTTTGTTTTACCGTTTCCATGTGCAACAGTGCAATTGTATATGCGAACGCGCGGGATCCGATCGATACTTTGAAGATATATTCTATGGGCTTTGAGCAGAAATGCATTATTCTAACTGTGAAATGCGCACAAATATCACAAACACACACATAGACTCGATGCAAGAACAGTTAGGATTGGCGGTGTTCGATTTTCTCGATTTACTCGAACGCGCGATCAGGATTTTCCCATATATACACACACAGAAATATGTGTAAAACCCCGCACTTTCGCGCCGATCTGAAAAACGATAAGTTGTCGTCGTCGTCGTCGACGGTCGCTGCTTTAGCTCTTAAGATCACTTTCCATTCCTAAACCGCCTACAGATGAAACGATCGCAGCAATTTCACGATCAAACTAACTTCACCATCTTCGGATTAAAACTGATTTCTAAGCAATGACGAAAACGGAGTCACTTTCAACATTTGTTTTACAATCAATCAAAGATGGCCGTATTAATTATTCCATCCATTGTAGACTTGATGTCGCACGCATTTAATGTATGGATATTATTATTTTTATTATTGTTGTTGTTATATGAAAGTGCGGTAACGGGTTCGCTCGTTTTCGTTATTTATTGTTTGTTTTTCGTTTCGTAAGTACGTAAGAGCGGTGCGCACACCTGATATCACGTGATCCGGAATTTGCATAAGCGTTTGTTGCGTGATAATTGAATTGGTATCGTTAACCGGTAGTTATTAAACGACTACCGCGCGCTACCACTAATTCGACAAGCAAACTTTCTGGTAATCCAATATATATATCTGGTAATATATATAAATAACAGTTAATTCAATTGAGAAGTCACGCGCGACGCACGAGCGTACTGGGAACGACGCACAGGACAGGACAGGAAGTGGTGCAGCAGGGCAGGGCGGTAAAAAGACGAAGACGAATTAATAAGTAGAATAAACAGATGATGGTCGTGCATATATTGAAATTCGAAAGTACAGTCTGGTATAGATAGTCATCATTCAGACAACGATTATTAATGATAATAATGGTAGTAGTAGTACTTCTTTAGAATTGAATCTTCTCTCCGTCCGTCCGTTCGCATTATGTAAATTGTTTTCATTCACTCACTCACTCGCTAATGGACGAGTTTCGAGTTGTTAGTGATGGAAACGTCTGCACGGTTCTTATATACAGACACATTATTCGCATTGTAACAGGGGGGAGTTAGTTGGGCGGTGTGAGGTGGGCTTTCGGTCCTTGGATTTAGCGCAAATGCCACGCCATTAGTGCATTATCACGAAGCGTTATGCAACGCACGAAACGACCGCGCTTCTCTTTCATTCTAACATGCAGAAGAGAAAATAAAAACACTACAGCTCACCTCTTCTACCTACTCCGCATTCCACGAATACCGAATAACCGAAACATATGTAATAATAATAATGGGAAGCAAATATCATGTGTATTGTGACGTTCACTAAATCCAATATGGCTCCGTTACATATGGCGCCTCAATATGACGTCGCAAACTAAATTTAATGGCGCAAATTAAAATTCGGTAAAGACATTTTTAATTCTTCTTCTCATTTACTTTTTGTTTCGCGTTCATCATATATATTTATAAATGTGGACAACGGCGAAAACTACATAATAATGATGATGATGATCGTGTTGTTACGTGGCTCGTGCACATATTTATGTATGATGCTATTAAAGTTCGCGTAAGATTTATAATTTTGTAATGACACATACAACTGATGTATGATGACTTGCAAACGATCCGAACATGAGCCTTCTGTTACCAAGACATTTGTTTACAAAACAATTACAACTATGGACGTCCGTGTGGGTTGCAATTAAAGGTGGTTTGATTTTGATATGTAATTTTTATATGATCCAAGACGCACGTATCGCCGTAGTAGTACTACTACTATTCGAATCAAGCAAGTCAAGTGCAAGTTCAAGTTCGCCTCTCCTCGTCTCCAACGCCATCCAACGTTTCTGTACAAGCGACACAGAAAGTCTGCGTCTGACCCCGATTTTTATTCATCCACCAAAAATATAAATTACAAACGAGAAACGAAAATTCATTATTCCGTGCGGTCTCTCCTCTTATTCTTCATTCTTTTTTTTTGTATCTCTCCACATTCATAGGCGTAATTAATGTTAATATTTAGCAATCGCAATCAAGATGGCCGAATTGCATATGGCGTCGCAATGAAAGCAAACGATTTCATTTGTTTAAATTAAGTATATTATAGTTTCGAGAAGTCTATAAGGAAATAGATCGTTTTTAGTGTGTGAGTGTCTGTGTTTATTTTCGGTAGATTGTGTTTATTGTTTCGTGAAAGCGTTTAGAACTAGGAAACAATTACAAAAATGTAATGAGAAATCCATCAGTCACAACTCTTTATTTTTCTTTTTCTTCTTCTTGTTCATCATCATATGTGTGTATATGTTTCCGCCGTGTGTATATTGAAATTTGCGAGAGAGAGGCGAAAAAGAGCACACGAAATATGCGTGTGTGTAATTTGAACAGAAATAGAATGTTCTCAATTACAAAATGAAGCGAGCAAAGTGGGTTGCTGATGCGAACGAGTTCTAAAAAAAAAAAAACTGGAAACAACGGAGAAATGAAAGAATCGAAGAAAAGATGCGAAGGAATGAAGGTAATTGAAAGAAGGAATAAAAAGGAGGTCAGTGAGTCGTGGAGACGTGGTGTGTGAGAGAGAGAAGAGGTTGCGGCTGCTGCGTGATATATAGAGAGTGTGAGAGAGAGAGAGAAAGAGGCATCGAAAACGGACGGTTCAGAAATGCGGGCGGGCCGTGGTTTTAATACTGCAGGTCTAATTGCCGAAACGTGCGAAATCGTAGTTAATTGTAATCATAAATGACTCGAATTTTCGAGTTTAAAGTGCAACTTTCTAGTTTTAATATTCATGAGCGAAGGCGGCGACGGCAGCGGCTGTTTTGTTGCGCAATCCGCGGAGGCGATTGAACTGCCCGGAAAATATTACAAATGTTGGTCACTTGCTGCCGCTGCTGCTGCTGCTGCTAATTTAGCTTCGTTTATTTTCGTAAATTTTTGCATCAATCTTTAGTTTCGTTGCTTCCGGGAAGAAAAACTGGAGCGTTTTGATTGGTCGAACGCTGATTCGCTTACTGTGTAGCTATGGCAATATTCAATATGGCCGAATCGTTTTTGGCAAATGCTAGTTGCGTTTATCGTGTTTGCTTTTTTTCCGTCTCCAGGAACCAATGAAAAAGTTTAACCAATAACAAAGAACTTCCTTTTTTTGTGGGGCCAATCAAAATGCTTAGATTTTCGCTTTAGCATTGTATTGTCGAATGCGATTGAATATTTAATTTCCAGGAACCAATAAAAAAAAGTTTAGCCAATAGCAAAGAACCTTTTTTTTTGTGGACCAATTTCGATTGGTTCAGGTTGTTCAGGCTTTGTCGTATTATATTGTCGTATGCGATTGAATATTTGGAATGAGAATAATATGAAAATTGCCGGGTTTTTGTCGGGTCAGTTTGGGGGATAGGATAGGATAGGATGGATGGAGAATGTCGGTGCCAAGTGGCGTTCTATTTTCACACGGTTTTCCTAACTTATTTCACGAGGATTTTATTTCCGAGCCGGGCACATCTCGAGGAAGTCTATTACAGAACGGGTCGAGCCGGGGCGAAAGACGACGATTCAACCGTCGCCTCTGCCGCCGCCTCAGCCTCAGCCTGCTTGTTTCAACTCTGCCTCCTCCTCTTTCTTCTTCTTCTACACCCCTCTCATCTATCCATTCAAACAGAAATAGCAGAAGCGAATGTATTTTTACGATTCGTAATAATAATCATAATAATAGTGGTGTAGTGACGACGATGAAAATGCGTGTGCTGCGGCGGCCGTGAGCGCGAAATCGCGTTTTGTAACATCTTCTTCATCGTTCTCGCTCACATTTTTGTGTGCGTATTTTAAAGGCACATATATACATGTTGCTGCATTACTTTTACTATTTATATCGAATTGTATTTTTAATTTCTTCCTTCTTTTAACATTAAAACGTTGTCATTGTCATCTTTCCATTAGTTGTCAAAGCCCAGACGATATATAATGAAGAAGACTAAAAATATGTTATAAATACATATCGAAGTCGCAGCAGCAGCAGCAGCAGATTAAGGTCAACCGTTGACATCCTTTATTTTTTGCCCTGCTTCAAATTATAATAAATCAATAATATCTCAGACTGTGGGGTGTTCTTGCCGTATAAAAATGAATTATTATTTATGAAATATGGGTTTGTGCAATTTCATCCGGATAGATTGTCGTCGACCGGAAACGCAATGCTAAGCGAAATTAGATAATTCTACGCTGAGGCCATCTTACGTACGAGACGGCGTTCAATTTCATTTTGTTCATCAGGAAGCAGAGAGAAGTTGGCGAAATATTGTTCATATGTTTTTTTTTTGTTTGTTTGTTGTAGATCCTGCAAAATCTTGGTAAAGTCGATCGCACCGCTGACGATATCTTCGATGACCACCTGCTGAATTTCAACAAGCAGCAGAACAATGCCAATCGTCTGCAGAAGGAGTTTAACAATTACATAAGATGCGTGCGAGGTGAGTCATTATTTTTGTTGGCGTAACTCCCTCTCACTTATTCAAATGTTCGTATATCGTTACATTATTGATACGCTGTTGAGAAAGGAAAAACGTACGAATCTGTTTTCGAGTGGGCCACCGTCGTTTTTCCTTTTGTTTCTCGTCCTGTTCTTTTCACGATTTCACGTTTCGATTGCTGCAACTTTTTCGATCTGGATTCATATACCATTTACACATTTCAATTGTCTTTTTGTTTTTCCTTCCTTGAAGCCGCCCAGCTCGCCTCCAAGCAATTCATGGAGGCCGTCAGCGAGGTGTACGAGACCGGTTGGAGCGGACACGACCTCCTCTACGTGCAGACGCAATCCGTCGATATGCTCTATCAAGACTTTTGTCACAAGCTCGGCGAGCAGGTCCTCATTCCGCTCAACACCTACCAGAACCAATTCCCAGAAATGAAAGTGAGTAAACAATATGCTGCGTTTCTTTAAATTACACTTTGCGCGCGTTATTCCATAAGTCGACAATTAATTTGTGAGAATTCAATTAAGCGTAGATTAAGAAATGACAGTTTTCTTCTCGACTTGAACGACGATTGTTGTTTTGATTGGTCGCGATGGAGACGGGTGGAGAAGGTAGAAACGACCTTGCTGGAAAAACAGTCGACGGTGATAATTGGTTTGTTACGCAACGCAGAGGTTATTGTAAAATAAACAATTCAAATCGTATGGCGATTGTCGTGTCGATTGATTTAACATTTAAAATATTGCTTTTAGAAAAAAATTGAGAAGCGCGGAAGGAAACTGGTGGACTACGATGGACAGAGGCACAACTACCAGACGCTGCAATCGGGAATGGCGAAGAAGAAGGATGAGACGAAGCTGTCGAAGGGTAGGGAACAGCTGGAGGAGGCGAAGCGAACGTACGAGGTGCTCAATTCGGAGCTGCACGACGAGATTCCCGCACTCTACGACTCGAGGATACTCTTCCTGGTTACCAATCTGCAGACGCTCTTCAACACCGAACAGATCTTCCACGCCGAAACCGCAAAGGTGTACAGCGAGCTGGAGGCGATCGTCGACAAACTGGCGACCGACAGCCAACGCGCCTCTTACTCCCTGAAAAAAACCAACGGCTCTAGCCTCCCCAGGAAACCCCCGACCGCCCACAGCAACGACATCGTCAACGCCACCTCCACCATCACCATGAACAGCATTTCGCCAATCAAGAACAACTCTCTGCGTAAGTCCACCTCCAACACCGACACCTCTTGAATCTTATCTAACAACGTCTTGCCGGTTTTTTCTTCTTTTCTTCTTCTTCTCTGTGTGTGTGCTGCGTATGCGTGTTTTTTTCGTTGTTGTTGGTTTTTTTTTGCGAGTTAATAATGTTTGCAGCCGAGGGAAGCACGAACTCGAGCGGCTCGACGACGCCCACCGCCCTAGCTACCACACCCACAAAACCGCATACACCTCCCCCGCAGGTAACTACGCCCAAAGAGCTGTTCCCGCCCCAAACGGACGCAACTTCCGCCGGCAGCGGGGACGAGCAGCACTCGGGCAGCTCTTCCCCGTCGACACCCGAACCTCCGCTTGCTCCGGCCACGCTCAAGGTCAGTCCGCCGATGGAGACGACCGTCCCCAAACCGGAAACGCATCCTCCGCGTCCCGATCCACCGAAACCGGAAGTCAACGGTAACTCGATCACGACGACGTCTCTGACGACATCGACGAACAGCACCACAACCACCACCAGCACCACCGCCGCTGCAACAACAACGACGACGCAAGTTCCGCCCTCAACCGTCACCAATGACAACGTCGTCAACGTCAACAAAGTGACGACGGAGAACGCGAACAAGGTCAGGAATGTCGAAGAACTTTACGATATTCCAGTCGGTAAGCCGCTTGCTCTTTCAGTGTTCACTAACACAACATAACAGAAGAATTCACGTCATCAAATATCAATTTCCCTATTAACCTTTATTATTGTTGTTGTTGTTTTTGAATAGGTGCAAGCACCGAAAATCTTCCACACGGTGTCCTCTATCGGGTGAAATCCACCTACAAGTACACCAGAGAGGACGTTGACGAACTTTCCTTCGACGTCGGCGAAATCATCCGAGTCATAGAGTACGACGATCCCGAAGAACAGGTAATAAATCTTCAGAACGCATAATCATAATAATAAAGCAGGAAAATTATATAATTTTCCCACAAAAAGAAGAAAACAAATACAAATTCTTTTTGAAATTGTTTTAATGATGTCGGTGATGTTTATGTCCAGGAGGAAGGTTGGCTCATGGGGCTGAAGGAGACGACGGGCGAACGAGGAATGTTCCCGGCCAACTTTACGAAACCACTGTAAATTAAACAAAGAAACAAAGATGACGAAAACCAATCAACAACAACAACAACTCGATCATCTTCATCATCCAAAGAGAGAGAATCAATCCATCCACGATCAGCAGTGTGCGTGTGTATTTTACCTCTACACGTATCTCTCTCGTATACACGCACTCACATAAATATACATATATATGTATGTATGTGTGCATATGCATAAATAATTCGAGTATTTTCAGCGATGACAAACGTCATCGACGTTTACGAAGCACTGCATATTATTTTACTCATTTGTTTATTAACACGTATAGTAGAAATAAGATGATACGAAGAGGATGGATGAGGGCGTGGCGTGTAAAGAGAGTGAGAGAGAGAGAGTGAGCGTGACATGAAACAAACGAAACCGCCCCCGTCCTCCCCTTTTCCTCTCCAACCAAGAGTCATATAAACAAAGTGCCTTAAGAAAACAAAACAAAAACGTAGAAGAGGAAAGTTACATGATTAACGAAATTTGTTGTTTCTTCAGCTGTTCTTCCATTCTTTTGCAATTGTAAATAATATACATATATAAATATATATATATATTGAATCGAATGTGCCAAACAAATCAAATCAAATAAGAAAGGAAAGAGTAAATTGAGGACGTGTGGAGGACGATAGTTTAATCTTGACGACAAAAGCTCAATCTGCATTCATACGCATCGTTGTGTCATTCTTTGTTTGTTTGTTACTATAGCAATGGAAAAATCTCCATCGTTTAGTTTTTGTTTTGAACGAACGCCGCCGCCGTTTTGTTTCTCTTTTTCAATTAATACACACACACACACACACTCACGTACACTTTCTTCTTGTATCGAATGAGAGCTAAAAGCAGTGGACCATTATCAATCACTAGACGTAATTCTTGTTTCGTTTGTTGTCCTGTAGGCAATTTGTTTTGTTTCGCCGCCGCCGTCGTCGTCTTATATTTGATCTTCTTCGTTGGTTTGTTTCTTATATATACCACTTGATATGTCTACATACATATAGTTCGCTCCATATTAATATTATTGTTTTCTCTTTTAAATATATATATTGCATATTTTATCTTACGTTATTTATATATAAATATATTATATGTGCAGTGAATATTTGCATCTATCGATCGAACATTGCAATTCGATTTTTTTTTATCATCATCTTGTTTAGAATTTATTATTATATCTTCTATTAATTTTATTTTATTAATATAATTCTTACTCTCGCTCCCGTTTCTAATCAAACTAATTTATATTATTAATTGCCATGGCAACAAGACAATCTTTTTGTATATTGTATATCGTGCATACTCTGATGTCCTCCACCCCCCTTCCCCCACCGTTCTTTAAAAGTTACTTATATTAGAAAGGAATGTTTGTTGTGTTTTGTTTTTATTTTTATTTTATTTACACTTATATATTATATATATATATATCATCTTCTTCTTCATCAATTTCTTCAATTGTCTTCCTGCCTCCTGCTCCTGTTCTACACAATAATAATTTTGTTTATTAGGTATTATTAATTAATTATTGACTTTTATTCATCGAATTGTATTGTATTGTATAGAATTATGTGCATTGAGAACATATTAACTAGTTCTAAGAGTGTTTGTTCTTGGTTATGTTTAAATAAATATAAAATATTATTTAATATTATTGAAAAAAAAACACACACGAACACACATTAATTATTATTTGCAATCAGAATAATTGTGCGATGCTGAAGTTTGAAAAATTAAAAAAAAAAATGAACATATTGAGTTGCCTAACTTGATGTGTCGATTGTAATTCAAAATAACTATGGGCGACATCTACCATCGCCCGTGCTCGTTACATTCAGCGACCGGTTCATTTGTTTGGCATCCATTTGCATCATTTCAAATATTGGACCGTTCTTTTTTCTGCATTATTCAACTGCGATAATATTGTTGATGATTACCGATCAATGTGATGTTTGTAAATTAATTGTTTTCGGTGTTACGATCCTTTCTATTGATTGCCATCTGAGTGTTCGGTGAGAATTTCGATTTTACTTTTCATTTTGAGGTTAAATTAAATTTTGAAACAAACGGATTTTGTTGTTGCACTTAGTCAGTCGCTGAGCAACAACAATTAAGATGGACGATGAGGTTTTACCGTCGTCGGTGTCGCCGAGGAAGAGTACGAGGAACAGAAAATCCACACAGAAGGGTGTCGCGTTTGAAATAGAACTGCAGAGGAAGATGGAGAAAAACCAGCAGCAGATTGATGAGGAGGATGATGATGAGTTTTCTGGTGAGGAAATTCAAATTGAAGATACAGGTATGTTACAGATTGGCAAATCGTATTATGATTAATTGTTTGCTTTCTCTTTAATTTAAATCAGTTGCGAGTAATGTTGCCTTGGCTGGAAAGGATATATACAGCTTCGATAGGGTGAAAAAGTTGGAACGTTTGGAGACGCCGAAGAAGGAGAATACTAAAAGTATTCCTAAAACCCCTCACCATCTGCGGAAAAGAATTGGAAAAGGTTAATTTGAACTTTATTCATATTGGAAATGGATTATTCATTAATTGGTTTGCCAGGTATAAAATCGAGTATTGCTGAAGATTTTTCGAGCGACGGAGGCGAAGCGTATGAGAACACGGCCAGCGACTACTCGGCGTCAGAGTCTGAAAGCTCGAATTCTGATTCATCGGAAGATGTTGATGTTGAGGATATTTCGGATGGCGGCGGAGAAACGGTGAAGGCGCCAGCAATGAAGGGGTTGGTCGCGAGGATCCAGAAAGAGTCTGGCAGCAGAACGAGTAAAAAAAGCACCAGCGAATACGTGATCAGAACGGAGGAGTATTTCAGCAATAACGCGACGAAGAAGTCGACCACCTCGAATCACACTCTATCGAAGCTAAAGACTCCGCGTTTGAATCAGGAGGAGTTGCAGAGGCTATTGAAGAAGACGGCGGTGAGCGAGGAGCATCGAAGTTCGATTTGTAACTTCGGCGAGGAGTGCAAGGACAACTTCAACAGGTGGATTTGTCTTTTGCACGAGAACTTCAATCTCCTGTTTTACGGCTTGGGCTCGAAGAGGAACGTGCTGCACGAGTTCCACGAGCTTGTGCTGAAGGATCAGCCGGTGTTGGTGGTGAACGGATTCTTTCCCAGCCTGACACTCAAAGACATCCTCGACGCCATCACGCACGACATGCTGCAGATGCAGGGCGAAAGTTTCGCGAACGTCTTCAGCAATTGCGAGGCGATCGTCGACGCGTTTGCCGAAATCCCCGATCAGCATCTGTACCTCCTGGTGCACAACATCGACGGTGACATGTTGCGGAATCACAAGGCGCAGGCTGCTCTGGCGATGCTCGCCTCCGCCAGGAACATCCATCTGGTCGCCTCTATAGATCACATCAACGCACCTCTAGGTGAGTGAGATTTTCATTTAAAAAACTAACAAAGCAAATATATTGTATATTTATTTTTGCACACAAACAGTGTGGGATCACAACAAGCTGAGTAAATTCAATTTCGTGTGGTGGGATTGCACCTCGTTCCTGCCCTACACCGATGAGACGTCTTTCGAAAGTTCAATGATGGTGCAGAGAACAGGAAATCTTGCGCTCTCATCCCTTCGGAACGTATTCCTCTCGTTGACGTCGAACGCGAAGGGCATCTACAAGCTCATCCTCAAATACCAGCTAGATCACAACACCAGCCAGTATTATCAAGGTAGGATTTTATTTAACCACTTACACGATGCTTATTGTTGTCGCCAAATGCTTCGAAACAGGTCTGCTGTTCAAAGATCTGTATTGGTCGTGTCGCGAGGCCTTCCTCGTCAGTTCCGATCTGGTGCTGAGGGCTCAGCTGACCGAATTCGTGGACCATAAGATGGTGAAGCTGAAACGATCCGCGGACGGCGCCGAGTACCTCATCATCCCCATAGCCACGAATCTTCTCCAGCAGTTTTCCAACGAGCAAACATGATACGAGCAAATAAACTTATTATTTTTTCATAATTCGAATCCCCCCACTCAGACTATTCATTTTACCAGCGCAATCGATACGGCCTTGTTTTTAGCTTAGTTTCGTTTATTTTATTTTTTGATAAAATTTGTTATAGTCGTCGCGTCCTTCGATCCGCGGCGGCGATTGTCGCTCGTGTTACGCGCGGTGGGGCGGGTGGGGAGTTTTTTGCCATTGCATATAACCTCAAAACGACGCCGCCGCCGCCGCCGAATGGGGGAATCGATGTGCGGGCCCCCGTGACGGTTGTCCAGTGCTGGAGTGCAAGAGAGGGACAGAGTTAGAGAAAGGTGCAAAGTTCCAAACAAATCGTCGCAAATTACGAGAAGATTGTCGTCGTCGTCGTCGTCGATGGAGCGGAAAATGTTGGAGCATAAAGGAGACGGCAACCTGATTAGCGAAATCATAACCAGGCTCATCCTGTGGATGGTTTTCATGTACGTAAAGAGAGAGGGTGGTGGTGGTTGTAGAACGATCATTGTTTTCATTAGCAATTTCACAAACTGACATTGACAATTGATATTGTTTGTTATTGATGTGTGTAGCAGTTTTAGTAGTAGTAGTTTTATTATAAAGGAAATGGTGGAGAAATAAAGTCCACTTTTAGTTCGTGGACGCAACAAATTTGAAATCGATGTGCGTTTGGTTATCTAACTCGTTTCGATGTTTTCTCTTCGTTTAGCTACATGGAGCTGTGCACGCCGTTCATCAGGACGATTCAGCCGGAGGAACTGTGGCGGTACAAGTATCCGCCGTCCAGGCAATACGTGACTTCAAATATGCTCTGGTTCACGGTGATTGCGGTGCCGATGATGGTGCTAACGTTGGACGTCATCCGAACGCGAAATCGTGCCGCCTTTCGCAGCGGAATCCTCTGCCTGACGCTGCTGCTGGGCTTGAACGGTTTCGTGACGATCCTGCTGAAGTTGACGGTGGGAAGACCGAGACCCGACTTCTTCTGGCGCTGCTTCCCGGACGGAGGCGGCGACGAGAATCTCGAATGCACAGGCAATCCGCAGAGCGTCCTCGAGGGTCGGAAGAGTTTTCCCAGCGGACACGCGTCCTTCTCCTTCGCCGGTCTAGGTTTTCTCTCGCTGTACCTGAACGGCAAGTGGCGAGCTTTTCAGCCGGGCAACGGGCAAGCCTGGAAGATGATCTGCTGCCTCATACCGATCCTGGTGGCAACATGCATAGCCGTCAGTAGGACGTGCGACTACCACCATCACTGGGAAGGTCGGATCTAAGAAAGCTCCGGACTTTTGTGAACAATGTCTAAATTAAATGATTGTATTCGCTTTTTTAGATGTCACCGTGGGCGGAATGTTGGGTGGAGGACTCGCGTACATCTGCTACAATCTGTATTTCGCCCAGCATCCATCTGGTTCCACGACGACGACCACCACCACCTCAAATTAGCGAGAATATTATATTAGCACGTATTGAACAAGCAAGAAGGCATGTACGCACGAGTGGGGAAAGTGAGAGACGAGAAAGAGAGATATAGAGAGAGAGAAGTGTATATTTGTTCCAATTCCAGTTAATTTTTTTTTTATTATTTTACAACAGATTTTAGAGAATAAACGTTATTCACTTGTTACCGCGAACTTTACGGAGAGCAATCCCTCGATGCCGCCCTCGATCGTGTCGCCTGGGTGGACTGGTCCCATGCCAGGCGGTGATCCGGTGAGGATGAGGTCGTTCGGCTCCAGAGTCATGTAACGTGATACGAAGCTGATGAGCTGCGGCACGTCGAAGATGAGATCGTCGGTGTTGCCCTTCTGCTTGGGTTGCCCGTTTACCGTGCACCACAGCTGCACCTTGTGCGGATCCGTAATCTCTGACTTTTCGATGAACCTGCTCACTGGACAGGCAGTGTCGAATCCTTTGCCGATGCACCACGGCAGTCCGGCGCTCCGTGCGGTCGTCTGCAAAGAAGAAGTTGACAAAAAAAAAAACATTCCCGTGATCATGAATATTATTGATATATATATATGTATTTGTTGTACCAGTTCAGAGGTTGCGGTCATATCCAGGGCGACGCAGTAACCGCCCACGTGGTCCATGGCCGCACCCACCTCGATGTTCTTCCCGCCCTTTCCGATAACCACGCCCAGCTCGATCTCCTCGTTCACCGCGAATCCCTTCGGAATCTACAAGAAAACCAACACATTGCATGTATTTTCCTTAATAACATTAATAACCCACAACCCGCCCGAGATCAAAGTTCGAAACGGTTAATTATCGTCGTTACCACGATGCGCTGTCCTTCGGTGATGTAAGAGGTCGACGGTTTCAGGAAGATCACCGGCTCCTTCGGCGCATCCACCTTCAGAATGGGAAGCAACGCCCTGCATCATAGAAAACACCTTCAAAATGCTGCATCCAAAGTTTCAGAAAAGACACTCACTTGTAATTCATTCCGGCGCCGGCGATCTTCCTTCCCGCCTTTGCAAAGTTCCTGAGCTGTCCGACTGCCATTGCCGCTGTTGCTGTTGCTGTCTCATCCATCGCCGCGTCTCCGACAACAAATGTTCTTGCACTTGTCCTTCCAATTCGAAAGATCCGCTCGCATCGCAGATAACATACCCTCCTTATCTGCTCGATTACAACATTTGCTGCTGCTTTATCACCGAAAAGGTCGGAAAGGTGACGCCCATTTGAATATCCCGCCCCGTGGCACGACTACCAATCCACCGCCAGTTATTTATAACACCCTACCCATTGTTACCGTCACCAGCAGCGATTTCTTTCTTCGACATAAATACAAGAAATAGCAGGGGCGAGATCGATCCGTTGATCTCGGATGTATCATTAAACGAAATGCCAAGTTATTTTAAGATTTAAATATTGTAATGATATCTCGGTTGCCTATCGTATACAACCAAAATTAATGTAATTAGTTAACTAATCGCAATTTGCATTCTATTTGTAAATTGCTTTGCGCAATTTTGAAGACGACTGTTGATTAATGTAGGTCAAATAACTCGCGGAATTGCCTGAATTGCATCGGCCCGTTGCGATGTTTCTATACCGGACTGTTCCGGACGAACATATGAGCGCGCGGGCGCTTTCGAAATCCTACTGCTGACTCCTCACTTTTAAAACATTCGCTGATTTCGATATGCTAAATTATATTAACAATAATTAATAGCATGTTTCGTAATCGATTTCAATGCAATCGCATTCCAATTGGATCGTATGTGATCCAATAGGAATGAAAAAAAAAACAATTTGAATTTGATTTATTTTTCTATATGGTTGGCATCCGAAGCGGTGGTGACATTTCGAGTGGTCGTGTTGTTATGACTGCTTGTGTGTGTCGGTCGGTCGGTCGGTGGGCGCCATTTGTCAGTGGTGGTGGAGCGAGCTGTCAAAACCATATTGATTGCGGTCCGAAGAGATTGAGCGTGTGAATGTGTGCGTTTAGAAGTAAATTCGACGCCGAATTGATGAGCTCCGAGTTGCAGTTGAAATAATAGAAATAAGTAAAGTGGCGGAGATAGAGAGAGATAGAGAGAGAAAGAGAAGAGAGTTTTGCAATGGAAGCGGCGATGCGAGGACACTGCTGCTGTTGCTCCTGCACTGCTCGTTAAGAAGGGAAAAGAGACGAGACGGAAGAGCTGAACAAGTCGGTGTCGGTGGTGCGCGGATAAACCAACAAAAAGAAGAAGGAAAGAAGAATAAGAAGAAGAGGAGGAGGAAGAGTATCGACGACACTGTCTGTACGTGCGCGCGTGTGTATTTGTGAATTTGCACTTTTACACACACACATATATATATAGATATACATATACAGGAATCACGCAGGCAATCGAATAACAGTTAGTGTGTGATTTCAGTTGGAAGTGCTGCACATACACCATACGTTCTTTCATCTATCTGTCGTACCAGCACAGCACACCTTTACCGGCTGAAGCGGGGGAGAGACGAAAAAATAAAACATCGAAGAGAGTGTGAGAGGAAGCAGGAGGAGGTGGAGGAGTGAAGAAGAAGACATCGGCGATCCTGTTTCTTCGTTCTTTTTCTTTTGTTCCTGTTCGTTTCCATCGCGACGAGAGACCGAAGGAAAGGAGGAGGAGGAGGAGAGCGAGTGGAGTTATCCGCCACGAGCAGACTCTGGCGTGCACACACAGACACGGTCGACCTGAAGAACAGTTATATATTAAGTTTTGACGAGAATTCGCAGAGGACGGAGCGAGGTGAGCGTCGCGTGAGTGTGTGTGTGTGAGTGTAGTACGTGCGCTATGCGGACGGTTCCACTAGGTCGTTCCTCTTCTCAAGTAGTAGCAGCAGAAGCAGCAACAACACCAATAACAGCAAAATCAGCCAATCGAACGACCATCCAATTGGAATGAGTTGCCGTTGCCTGACAACGACGATCTTCTTCTGATAGCCGTCGTCTCCCTGCCTAACCCAGTAAAACCCATAGGAACTGACTTGAATTCACACACACAGATACGTCCATCCCCCCACGTCGTGTGCGCGTTTTTAACTTTTTTTTTGTTTGTTTGTTTTATCCTCCCTTAAGTATTTATATTGCCTGCCCACCTCTTATTCTCCCTTTCTTAACTTTCATATTCAACCAAATTTACTTTTGTGGTGCATCCCGTGCAGTGGTATCACCTTCCCCCTTGAATCAGCAAGTGCACAAGTGTTCCTACCTACCAAAAGGAAATTATGATTAAAATGGAAACGGACAAGGTTATTGAGGATTCTAACAGCAATTCGCAGGTAATTGAAAAACATTTTCTCACATTAAAGTCAACATGCAAAATATTTAACCACAACAAAGTGAAATGTCATCATCGTTGCCTGATGCTGCTCCATCTTTGGCCCTTTGTACAAGCGTTAACTAACTAAATGCAACTGGAAATTTTCCATTACAAGAACATGATTCCGCCAGTCATCAACAAACATTGTCAATTGAGACAACCCAAGTTCCATTAACCTGAAATTGAGGAATGTCATTGATGTCTTCTTCTTGTTCGGTTTCATTGTTACCATTGCAGTATTGCTGCAAATCATAAGAATCACAACTAAGAATTAGAAATATTTCATTGTTTAATTCAATTTTAATCCAATGATTAACAACAACTGATGCAGTCTAATGAACCTGGCACAATGTTAATAACGTCATCCAGTTTAGTAATTGTAGCATCCTTTGTTTGTAAAAAAAAAAACAAAAGTTTCACTTTCTTCAATTGTTCAATTCTCCGAGCAACGAAAAACAATAACGTAACGAATTTATGAATTTTAATTTTGAAATCGTACGTAGATTTAGTTTTATTTGATTGTTTGTTTGGTTCGTATTAGTGTAGTGCGAACGATTCGAACGCATCTATAGAAAGTTGTCGCGTTATCAATCGTGTTGTATGCAGCGCGAAATGAACGATAAAGTTCGCGTCCTGATAAGGAGAGGGACGGAGGAGACTTTTTTTTTGAGCAGACAAAAATCTCATTCATATATATACACACACAACAAACTTAACAAATTCACGCACACGTTTTTTCTTTGCAATTTGTGAATGAAAACTGAGAATTTCCGTTGCGTTCCTTCCGCTGAAACCATATTATCTGTTCTTGTTGTTGTTGTTGTTGTCTGCATCCAATCATTTGTTTATGAATCATTTGTTTTCGAATTTTATTTACAAGCCTCCGTGAATACTTACATACATCTACACAATTAACTATGCGAGTGCTCCTGGAGGACGGGACATACCTCACCGCCGATGTGTTAAAATCGTCGACCTTTTATTTTTTTCCTCCTTTTCGAATAATTTGTTTAAACAATTCAATTAGCCGTGGCCTACTGTGATGTTGCATATATTTCGCTGATATTTGTTCGGCTCGTTTCCATTTAGCCAGCCACTCATCATATCTGCGTATCTGCCTCGTTTCTATGATAACGTGTGCTGTTGCTAAGTAATTTTAACAATAGCAGCAACAACGAAACGGAATTGGCAAAGTGATCGTCGTCGGTTAGTTTAATTGAGTTGAACAAAAATTCGGTGAGTTAATTCTATTCCATTAAATGAAAGCTTAGATTCGTTTCTGTACACACACATATACGTGTACAACAGCGGTGTTTAGCTATGGCAACGGCTGGTATTGTTTAAATATCGTTACCAGAAGAAACGGGTTCTACGAGCCCGTTACGGTGATCCCATGGCAACGAAATAAATAATATCTAGACTAGAAGTACCTGTGTACATTGGCAATGGTGCTGTGGTTGAAGAAGAAGGAGGAAGGAAGGAAGGAAGGAAGCAGGTCGGAGGATCGTACAGATTGGAAACGAATTCAGAGTGAAAACACAATTGTTACTTTCTATCTGGATGGGTCGAGGGGAAAGTGTGTATGTTTGTTTTAGTGTGTGTGTGCATTCGTTAAATAATTTAATTCAATCGTTTCACTCTAATGTCTTCACAGCAGATTGAGGGAGAAAGAAGAGGAGAATTGCGATTTATTTCGGGGTTAAGGCGGGAAAGTTAGTATTTGGTTGCTTCGTTAGTATTTGGTTCGGCTCGGATGGAAGCAGAAAGTGTTGCTAATTAACACATGCACGTTTCTTTTCTTATAACTTTTTATTTTTGTTTCAACGAAGGCTAAAGAATCGCATCGTTCTTACAAATAAATCATCTACAGATTTTTGTTAGCTGTGTGCACGACTAGTGTATGTTGCTTCGTTGCAAGGCTATTATACTACTACTACTACTACGTTGATTCTAGTGAGTGAGGAGTGAGGAAGACGACCATCGCGGGCGAATGAATCGAGCGCAAAACAAGAAAAAGAAAAAAATGTAACATTAACAAATGAAGGAGGAAGAAACTACCTCTTCCTCGTTCGTTTGTTCGTTCGCTCTCTCACTCATTCTGCATCCGCTGAAGGATTTATGCTAAGAGATTCGTGCTCTCGCTATTTTACATTTCTTTTTGCTGACGGTCACGACCTTCTCTCGTTATATTCAAGTCCATCTTCCGGTTATTGGATAAAACCATTAAGACCACTCGATTTAGGAGGGAATCATAGTTACCTGTCCGAGAGCTATGCATTTATAGACAGCACAGTTTTAAAGAGTATCGATGAATAACTGTAGGTTTTTTTGTAAATGTTCGTTTTATTTTTTTTTCTTGTCTTTGTGCTTCGTAAGCGGAAGTTCATTGAAAGGAACTACAAATAAATCGGAGCAGCAACAATTTCAGGGACGTAACAACGTTTCCATGGAAACACTACTCTGTTTCTTGACAACGAAATGGTGGATCTTCTGCTCGAATATTGTTGTTAGCAACAGGTGTTGTTTGTTGTAGCAGCAGCAGGACCAACGGTGACGCAAAGAGCGCGAGAACTGCACACCATTTCCTCGTTCTTTGTTGTTGTTGTTGTCGTTGTTGTTTTTTATTAGTTTTCTTCTTCTTCTCTTGTTAGCGTCTGTCGTTTTCTTCATATCCGTTCGAGATAATAACCGACGGATAGACCGCAATTTCCTGGTGATGCAAGGAAGCTACAACAACGGCAACCAACCAGTTAACTAACTACATTATATCTAATGCAATGTGTGGATGGTTTTGTCAAGAAGTTTAGTTCTTTTCGTCGAGCGACAGATGAGAAGCGAAAGAGAGGATAGAAGAGTCGAATGAAAATATATAAATTGGAAATCGGAGCGGAAGCGTTTTCTAAAGAAGCACTATTATAATGGGACAACAGCAGTTGCCCATTTGTTTATAACTGCTCATTTGATAACGAATACTAAACGCGCAATGAAAGTAATAGCAGTAATAGAGTTACGATTATAATAATAATAATTCAATGTGTGTGGTATGTATCGTTTGTACAAGAAGAATTGAAGATAGAAAGAGGTCGAATGTAGAAAGGAAGGAAGGAAGGTCGGAGGGGGTCGATGATCGTCTATTTTCGTGCGTCGTCTGGAATGCATCATAACTGAAGAATAGATGCTCTGACTCATTGCAATTGTTTTCCTGCTGATAACACCTTTCGGAATCGTTTCGTATCATAGTAAAATTGATTGATTAAATCGATCGTGTTGTTGTTTCGTGTAGAGTTTGTATAATACGAAAAAGAACAATTAGTTAAACTTTCGCGATTCAATTCGATGTTTGTTGCAATTGATGATGATTATTAAGTGGTGTGGAGCGTTAAGTAATGGAAAGTTTCCGTTTGCGGACACAAAATTGTAATAATATAAATAATATATACAATATATGAAGTAACAAAGAAATGATAATAATGATGTTTTGTTTGTTGTGTGTGAGCGCGCGCGAAGAAGAAGGAAAGATAATTTCTATTTCTAGTTGTTGATTGAGGGCAATGATGAGGGGAGGAGTGTTTAATCGAAAGGAAATTGTGTGGAGCTATCCAATTTCTATCAAATAAAGAACGGACGAAGAAACGCACGCCGCATGCTCGATGCGTCAAGATTGCGCAATTAGTTGCAATTGTTTTTGTCTTTCTTAGAATATATTAAAAAGAAGCATGATCTATCGATGTGGATTTTATTTTATTTATTAATGATTGTTGTTGTTGTTATTGTCTAGTTTCCGATGACGATGATTTATGATCCGGCGAGGAAGAAGGAACCGTCCGCGGAATTGATAGACGAACGGAACATATGTTTGCACTACTTCGAAAAATGGAGCGAATCGGATCAGGTGGAGTTCGTCGAGAGTTTGCTCTCGAGGATGTGCCACTATCAACACGGACACATCAACACCTACCTGAAGCCGATGCTGCAGCGCGACTTTATCTCTTTACTGCCAAGTGAGTGCGAATCAATCGACGTAGTAGTAGATGTAACAAATTATTAAATGTATGATGATTGTTTGTTTGTTTGTTTCGGTTGCAGAGAAAGGATTGGATCACGTTGCCGAGAACATCCTCTCGTACCTGGACGCGGAGAGCCTCTGCGCAGCAGAATTGGTGTGCAAGGAATGGCTTCGGGTGATATCGGAGGGAATGCTGTGGAAGAAGCTGATCGAGCGCAAAGTTCGGACGGACTCGCTGTGGCGGGGCTTGGCGGAGCGACGACAGTGGTAATAAGATAGACGGAGGAGAGATGTATTTATCAATGGATTTGGTTTGATTTTGTCGATTCTATTTAAGGATTCAATACGTATTCAAACCGAGACCGGGCGAGAGTCACAGGCCGCACACCTTCTATCGGTCGCTGTATCCGAAGATCATACAGGATATCGAGAGCATCGAAAACAATTGGAGGATGGGTCGTCACATCCTGCAGCGCATCAACTGTCGTTCGGAGAACAGCAAAGGCGTCTACTGTCTGCAGTACGACGACCAGAAGATCGTTTCGGGTCTGAGGGACAACACGATCAAGATATGGGACCGTGGCACGCTGCAGTCGACGAAAGTGCTCACCGGTCACACCGGATCTGTGCTCTGTCTGCAGTACGACGATAAGGTCATCATCAGCGGCTCCAGCGATTCGACGGTGCGCGTCTGGAACGTCAACTCCGGCGAGCTGGTGAACACTCTGATCCACCACTGTGAGGCAGTGCTGCATCTCCGATTCAACAACGGTATGATGGTGACATGTTCGAAGGTACGATGATGTAAATACATAAGAGTCATAAGAGTCAATGTACTAATTATACGTTGTTTGTAGGACCGATCGATAGCTGTGTGGGATATGACTTCGCAGACGGACATCACGTTGAGGAGGGTGCTCGTCGGACACAGGGCGGCCGTGAACGTGGTCGACTTTGACGAAAAATACATCGTATCGGCGTCCGGCGATCGGACAATTAAAGTGTGGAACACGTCGAACTGTGAATTTGTGCGGACTCTGAACGGTCACAAGAGGGGCATCGCCTGCCTCCAGTACAGGGATAGGCTGGTGGTCAGCGGCAGCTCCGACAACACCATTAGGTGACGAACATACATATACATACATACATATACACATCATAAACAAACTTAACATTTTTTTTTTCTCCTCCTCCTCCTCTTCTTCAGATTATGGGATATAGAGTGCGGCACGTGTTTGCGCACGCTCGAGGGTCACGAGGAATTGGTGCGTTGCATACGTTTCGATTCGAAACGTATCGTCAGCGGTGCCTACGACGGCAAGATCAAGGTGTGGGACCTTTTGGCAGCCCTGGATCCCAGGAAACCGGCCAACGCTCTCTGCCTGCGGACACTGGTGGTAAATCAATTCCTTTACTATTAAATACATTATGCGCCGCCGCCGCTACTATTATTAATATTATTATTGACGTCGTCGCTTGACGCTTTTTACTTACTTACTCATTACTTACTTGTTCAATTTGTGCGTGCACACAGGAGCACACGGGCAGAGTCTTCCGGCTGCAATTTGACGAGTTCCAAATTGTGAGCAGCTCCCACGACGACACAATACTCATTTGGGATTTTCTGAACTCGACGGACAACAGCGCAGTCAGCAGCATGCAGATGTCGACGACGAGGAGCCCCTCGCGTAAGTACCACCGCACCTGTATAACTCCTACTTCTTTTCATCCTCACCGACTAACGGTTCCAATGATAACGGTAACAATCATAACACCATTGCATCAAACTCTCTTTTGTTGTTTCTGTATTATTTTCTGTGTGTTGTTCTTGTTGTTTTTAAGGAAATTGCATAAATTCTCTTTTGTTTTCTCTTCTTTTTTAGCGACGAATTTTGATGAGTTTTTAGTGTATGAGGATTCGGTGCGTGTATAAATCATATTTAATCAAGCAACAATTTTTTTAACTAACTTGTACCTTCTCTTTTTGTTTTTGTTTCTTTTTCGTGCTTCGCTCGTTGTTTCTTCCTCTCGATCGACGATTCTGTGGGGGGTCGGTCGATCGGTATGGTTTCGATTGTGGACGTTCGAATCCTCCATCCACTGCGGCGACGATCATCAACATCATCTCGACTATTCCAAAATTTATTCCTCCGTTTATTTTAAATCCGTTCCGGGGATCGTTCGATCGTTCGTTCCAAAACATGTAGTAATCTCGAATGTGGGGGATAAGCCTGATATTGGATTTAGAGACAGAGAGAGAAAGAGAGAACAGAAAAAAAAACAAAAGAGTGAGAGAGAGACTCTGAGAGATGAAGGATCTGTGGTGTCGTGAGAAAAGAAGAAATGCATATAGGTATAGTAAGAGAAATGAAAAATAGATGGAGGAGGGTGTGTGTGAGTGTGTGAGAGAGAGAGAGAGAAATTACAGAGATAGATACAATTACAGAAGAGAGCGAGAGAGAGAATGGGGTGAAAATCGTGGACCTAGTCCTCCTCCTACTCTTCTCCATCAAATATGTTGAAGAAAAATAGTCTTATGTACATTCACGAAAGATCGTAGTTTTTGTTTGTTTATTATTATTATTAATTGTTTTTGAAAAATTATTTCCAACATTATTATCTTCTTTTTAATTTGTTATCAATGTAAAAGAAATGAAACGAAGTCGCAGACTTGCGAAAGTAATGATGATGATGATGATGATCATGATATCATCATCACCATAACAACATCAAACAAATCCAATGTTACTGTTATTACCATCACCATCGCTACTATATCACCATGACCATCAACACCACCACCACCACCATATATCATCATCATTTGATTTCATCATCTTCTGGTTTTAGGTTTAAGTTTAGTAAATACAAATATATTTATGCGTATCTCATCATATTACATTGTAATTTATTTTTATTATTATTATTATTAGTTTATTTGTTTATGTTGACACATATATATATATACATCTATATATATATACATACATATAAAAGAAAACAAACACAAACATTGAAACATCTTTAAAATCTTCGTTTTTGTTTGTTTTTTTTTTACTCAATTATTATTAGTTATAGAGAATATATGCGTACGTAGTGGGCGGTCCACCATCCCTTGGTTACCATGACAAATAAATATTCAGTTAGCTTCATTTTTTTTTACGACAATTTTTTGTTTTTGTTACTCTTAGGAAACTGTGAGCACCTTGAGAGAAGCCACTTGTGATTTTTTTTTTGGCAATTTTGATTTTATTTATTACACTATTTATAAACGAATTAAAAAAAACCAACAACTATATTTATATATACATATACGAAAAAAGAAAACAACTAAATGGGAATACATTTAGCGTAAGTGAATAAAGCTGGTTAATTAGTATAGTTTAATTGATGATGATTTAATGCTGCTGTAAAAAAAAAACAAAGAAAAGAAATTACCCACACACACATTTCCCACAACACCATTCATGACGGGATCACAATTGGTCTTCGTTTCTATAGCAACAAGACGTTTGGATGGCGGCGGCAGCAAACAAATGGAGAAGGATCCGTTGCCAGGAAGATTTCTGTTTGTTGTTTTATTTTTTATGTTTTTTTTTCTTTCTTTTTTAAATTAAGAAAGAAGCAAAAGAAAAACGTGTGGTGCTGCGTACGTTTGTGATTGATTTTGATGTTCTGTTGCAGCGTTTGAGTGATATATGCTGGGGAGGCACGGATGATGGGAGGTTCGATATTTCTCGTAACGCGACGCGAAGATGCAAAGAATACCGACAAAGAAAGACACGCACGCACGCAAGCAAGCAAGCAAGCATCCCGACTCCTCCCACTTCGGAGCCGCCCCCTGCCCCCAACACATCAAGACGGCGACTAACAGTTTCCGTTTGTTTTCACGTATCCATTGTTCGCGTACGAAAGAAAAACAAACAAAACAAAAAAAGAGACGTCATTTGTTGTTGTTGTTGTTGTTGTTGTTGTCAACGCACCGCATATGTTATGTGTCCTTCTCTTGTCCGTTTGTTTTGTTTTCGTCTCTCTTTCGTTATCATCCCCCATGGATGTCTAGTTTATCGCATGTGTGCGCGCTCGTTCCATTTTGTTTTTGTTTCGTTAATCTCGACGCGAGTGTCCAGAGAGTGTCTTCACGGACACGTAGGACACACAGAAGACATAAACCGTTAAATGTTCGTGTTTTAACTTTGTAAGACTATATAAACACTCACACACACACTATAGTGTATATACCTAGTTACGAATTTATACCAATTTATATTTATATATATATATTACCTTCTTTAAATATGTACCGTTCGTTTTTATGTTTCTTTATTTAAATTTAAATGTTTCGTTACTTTTTCGCACATTCTGTAAATGTAAGCAAAATCGAAGAGAAACGTATAATAGCTATTATTAAATGATAGTACTAGCATTACTCCATAGCAACCAATCAATCAATCTATCCTATGTTGTTGTTTTGTTTTTATATATTTTTTATATTGTATATTAGTAACTATGTACTGTTATTGTTTTGTTTTCGCATATCGAAACTAATCGTGAGTGCAAAACAATCGTACAAGACGTACAATTCGCATGAAGAAACTTTACTTTTTTGTCTGTTTTGTTTTCGTAATGTTCTTCTTGTTTTTTTTTTGTCACCGTACGCGAATTACCTGATCAATATATTTATACATAATAAGCAAAAGTTTAAGTAGTTGTTTCAAAAATTGCTGCTACCTGCTGCATCAGAAGAAGAAGGAAATTGCATCTTACATAGTAGGAACAACAGCAACAAAATTTAAAAAAAAGAACCCTAATTGTGTAGTCTGTAAGAGTTAGTGTGTACCCATTTTACCCTTTTCAGTAGTTACTAAACCACTGACTAAAACAGATGAAGGAGAGATTAAAAAAAGTGAAACACAAACAAAAAAATTAATTAATTAATTATTAATAATAATTTTAACGATTATGAAAAGCTTTTTGTGATAAAGAAAGAAAGAAAGAAAAACAACAACAAAATATTATTGTACGTATAAATATGTAATATTATAAAAATTATGTAAAATATTTGAGAGTGAAAAGGAGGATGAGGAGTAGGAAGGATCGACAAATTTCAATAATAATAATAATAGTAATAATAATAAAAAGTTTTTTGATCAAACGATATATAAATATATATATATATATATGTTTCATTGCATTGTTACCAACCCTCGTACGTGTTTAATATTACGTAACTATTTTCGAAATTTAAATATTGGTGGCGCGCGCGCGCGCGCATCTCTCGATGTAATTAATACGTGTGCTGTGATTTGTCGCGTTCGAATGTTTTTCAATGCCTTCTGCTGCCATCGGTGAAACATCAGCAGCGGAAATAGTTTGCGTATGCGTTGATATCGAAATTCGCGTCAAGAGTTGATGATTAGATGAACGACAACGGACGAACTGATATGCGATAAGCGAAATTTGAATTTGAATATTTTTGTTTTTGCGTAGAGGGCGCTACGTCGCTACCAACCGCAACAATATGACAGTTGCGCTTGCGTCCTTCCCCGTCAAGTTGACATGTTGCAGACGGTTCGCTCGAGTTTCAAGCGAGAAAATTGTGCATTTTGCTTTGTTGTGTGCGTGCTTTAGCTCGCATAAACACACACATACACACACACACGCGCGTACACACTTAACTCTGAACAGTATATACATATAAGTGTGTGTGTGTGTGTATATATATATATATAGATAGATAGGTAGTTCAATTGAGAGGACATTACTGTGTGTTGGTGAGCGAGTAAGTGCGAGTGCGAGTGTTTGCTGGTGTGTGCATGTATGTTATGTATGTACATGCATGTCAACGGAAGCGGTGAATAGAGTTGGATGCGTGCTGCGAGTACGTCGGATTCGGATGCGATTTCATCTTCGGCAGAAGTAGAAGAGTAAGGAAGTGGTGGAAAAAGTAGTAAAAGAAGAGCAAGAGGCGGAGGACGGACGGACGGACGGACGTCAGGTTAGGAGGAGGCCTACCTCAAGGTGCAGGCCTGCCGCGCTTCTCCACATCCCATACCGTTTCTATCGGAATTCAGAGATCGAAGTGCTCTTGCTGCTACAAATAACGAACACCGGAGACACACACCAATGAGCGAAAATGGCTGATGAACAGGTACAATACAATAACGAACATTATGCTTATTGCTGCATCTCTTCATCATTGTATGTAAACACACTCGCTCACTCACTCACGCGCACGTACAAACAACAACGATTGCGTTGGATGCGGAGGAGTAGAAAAGGAAAAGAAAAGAAATTAACCCGCAAACCATCATCCTTTGTTTATGTTTTGATCGGTAACCTGCATTTCATTTGCGCAAATCATCGTGACCATTTTAAGGCACACACTGATTCACTCACTCACTTAGGGCACACTCTCCATCCTAATGTCTTATCATCATTGAATACTTGATTATTACGTGCCCCCTCGCACGAGACGATTGAAACGCAGTCACTCTTATATAAGTTGAGTTGATAACAAAAAAATAATAATCTAAGGGGGCGACAAATGCTGACAACGACAACACAAAAATCACCATTCAATTGTTTATCTTGTTGTTGGTGTGTTTGTGTGTCAACTGTATGTTTATAGAAATTTAATGTATAATATCTGTGCTGTGCAGCAGCAGTGGCAGCAGCAGCAACAACTGCATCAATCTCCTGTTTATCTAATAAGATGCAAGCATTGTTTGTGTTTTTGGTCAAAGTCTGAATGGGAAGGGATTCGTTATTATTTTTTTATTGTTCTCTTATCCATTGTGTGACACTGATAAATTATTGGATTGCATTCATTTATCAAGTGTTGCAAATAGATATGATGATGGCAAAACAATAGCGAAACTATTTTATTTTTTGTGTGGAATGAAGTCCATGTTTGCGATTGTGCTCGACAATCCCATATTTGTTTTTTTGTTGTTGTTGTTGTTTGGATGTCATGAGATTTGGTTGTGTTGCTGCATTAGTGTCAGATTTGCTGGAGGTGTTTTAAAATAGGCTTAGTGGTGAGAGACTCTGAAGATGGACAGAGTGAGTAGTTGTTTCTTTAGAGTGTTTGTGCAGAGTATGGGAGTGATATTTATTAATTAATCAATCTTTTGTAGGAAATCAGGCAGTTGGAGCTGTTGTGCAAACAGCTGTACGAGTCGCAGGAGACGTCGATCCGTGCTGAGGCCGAGAAAGGTCTGGTGGTGTTCCAGGAAGGACCGGACGCTCTGACGAAATGCCAGGTGCTGCTGGATAGGGGCGATTCTTGCTACGCGCAGCTCCTTGCCGCCACCACCCTGACGAAGCTGGTGTCGAGAAACGCACAGGCGTTAGGATTGCAGCAGCGTGTCGACATCCGGAACTACGTGCTCAACTATCTGGCGACGAGGCCCAAATTGCCGGCGTTCGTCGTTCAAGGTCTCGTCTCGCTGTTCTCGCGCATCACCAAACTGGGATGGTTCGATACGCACAAGGAGGAGTACGTGTTCCGCAACGTGGTCAGCGATATCAGCAAGTTCCTGCAGGGCTCCGTCGAACACTGCATGATCGGGGTGCAGCTGCTCGCCCAATTGACGTGCGAGATGAATCAGATCTCCGATGTCGAGGCGAACCGTTCGCTGACGAAGCATCGCAAAATTGCCTCCTCGTTTCGCGACACGCAGCTCTTCGAGATCTTTCGGTTGAGCTGCTCGCTGCTGGGGACGGCGCGAGAGAATTGCAAAAATTTGAATTTTAACGACGAGGCGCAGCACGGTCTCATGACTCACCTGTTGAAGCTCTCGCAGAATTGCCTCACGTACGACTTTATCGGCACCACCACAGACGAGTCCTCCGAAGATCTGTGCACCGTGCAGATCCCGACGAGCTGGCGACCCGCATTCCTAGACTCCACCACGCTGGAGCTCTTCTTCGACATGTACCATTCCCTGCCGGCGACGCTCTCCTCGCTGGCACTCTGTTGCCTCGTTCAGATCTCGTCGGTGCGCAGATCGCTCTTCTCCAACACGGAGCGCTCCAAGTTCTTGGCGCACCTCGTGAACGGAGTCAAGCACATCCTGCAGAATCCACGTGGACTGAGCGATTCGGCCAACTACCACGAGTTTTGTCGACTGCTCGCTCGCCTCAAGTCCAACTATCAGCTGGGAGAGTTGGTGATGGTCGAGAATTACCCAGAGGCGATTCAGCTGATAGCCAAATTCACTGTGCAGAGTCTGCAGATGTGGCAGTTCGCACCGAACAGTGTCCACTATCTGCTGAGCCTGTGGCAGCGAATGGTCGCGTCCGTGCCGTACGTGAAGGCGACCGAACCGCATCTGCTCGAGACGTACACACCGGAGGTGACGAACGCATACATCACGTCGCGACTGGAGTCTGTGGCGGTCGTGGTGAGAGACGGTCTCGAGGATCCGATCGACGATCTGGGCATGGTGCAGCAGCAGCTCGAGCAGCTTTCGGTGATCGGCAGATGCGAATACGAGAAGACGTGCACCCTGCTGGTGCAGTTGTTCGATCAATCGGCGCGCACCTATCAAGAGGTGCTCGCAAACAGCCAATCGCAGCAGATCGACGTGACCGTGCAGGAGGGTCGTCTCACGTGGCTAGTCTACATAATCGGGGCGGCGATAGGTGGTCGCGTCTCATTCAATAGCAATGAGGAGCACGACGCGATGGACGGCGAACTGGTCTGCCGCGTTCTGCAGCTGATGAATCTCACCGATTCACGACTATCGCAGGGTGGCTGCGAGAAACTCGAGCAGGCGATGCTCAGTTTCTTCGAGCAGTTCAGGAAGATCTACGTCGGCGATCAGGTGCAGAAAAATTCTAAAGTTTACAGGAGATTGTCGGACGTGCTCGGTCTGGCGGACGAGGCGACCGTCCTCAGCGTCTTTATCAGGAAGATGTACGTGTGCTTTATTTTGCAGAAGGGTGAATTAATATTTATTAATAATTATTTTCTTTGCGCAGCATAACCAATTTGAAATATTGGGGTCGCAGCGAGCAGATAATCAGCAAGACGCTGCAGCTGCTGAACGACCTCTCCGTCGGCTACAGCTGCGTGCGAAAGTTGGTCAAACTGGACGAGGTGCAGTTCATGCTGAACAATCACACCAGTGAGCATTTTCCATTCTTGGGCAACGCGGTCGCCGTCAACGAGATGCGCTGCAGGTCGATGTTTTACACGTCTCTGGGCCGTCTGCTGATGGTCGATCTGGGCGAGGACGAGGATAGATTCCACAATTTCATGTTACCATTGACCGGTAAGCGAGCGAGCGAGCGAGCGACCGACCGAACGAGCAAATAATATACATATATCGTTTACATTTTGATTGTTTTGTTAAGGTTCGTTCGAGAGGATCGGGACGCTGTTCAGTGCATCCGAGACGCCGATGTTTTCTACCGACGAAACTAAGAAGGCTCTCATCGGTTTATCGAGGGACCTCAGAGGATTGGCGTTCGCCTTCAACACGAAAACGTCGTACATGATGCTCTTCGATTGGATTTATCCGAGTTACATACCTATTCTGCTGAGGGCCATCGAGTTGTGGTATCACGACCCGCAGGTTACGACGCCTGTCCTGAAGCTCTTCGCTGAACTGGTGCAAAATCGTTCGCAACGATTGCAATTCGACGTGTCCTCGCCGAACGGCATACTCCTCTTCAGAGAAGCTAGTAAAATTATTTGTAGTTACGGTAAGTAACGATTGCTTGACGATTCACGATGACCACGACAATAATCTCTATCTTCTCATGCGCTTTCATGCAGGTAATAGAATATTAAATGTAGAAGTACCAAAAGAGCAGACTTATCCGCTGAAACTGAAGGGCATGTCCATATGCTTTTCTATGCTGAAGGCGGCACTCTGTGGCAGTTACGTCAACTTCGGGGTTTTCCGTCTGTACGGTGACGAAGCGCTCGACAACGCGCTCAACATATTCGTCAAGCTGCTTCTCTCCATTCCCCAATCGGACTTACTGGTAAGTGGACACAACACGCACGCACGCACACGCACATACTATCCGAATATGATGAATGACGATGAGTCGTGTCGTGTTTTTGCAGGATTATCCGAAGCTGTCGCAGACTTATTACGTGCTGCTCGAGTATTTGGCCCAGGACCATATGGCGTTCCTGTCGACGCTGGAGCCGCACGTATTCCTCTACATTCTGTCCTCCATTTCGGAGGGCTTAACTGCCTTAGGTGGGCGACTTAATACCTACACAGGTCTGTGCAGTTCAGGGACGTGCAGTACAGCAAAACCAACCTCCCAAAAAAAAAAATATAAGATTATATATATATATGTGACATAGACACACACACGCACACATAGAGAGAGAGAGAGAGAGAAAATATCAAAAATGTAAACTTGCAATACGAAAACACACATTTACAACATCGTATCTACAAGAATCGAAGAATGAACCCTTCGATTTCCACTCATCTTTTCCCTTTTCGTGTTTCTCTCATTGCCACTTTTCAATATTCAATTATATCACGATCACCAGCAATTGTTCTCTCTTTTTGTAATGACAATGGACCGACAATTGTTTCCATAATTATTATTTTTCATTTAAAATTTTCGATTACTTTTCCTTTTTTTTTTAGAAATTCTATGTGGAAATGATTGTAGAGAATGTGTGTCTCTAGGTCTTGTTTTGTTTTTGTTTTTTTTTTTACATTTTTGATTTTCGTTTCTAATTTGAGTTTAGTTTTATTTATTTGATTTGGGTCTGCTGCTGTCTCTGACTGTACAAACTTAGAGTCGTAGACTTTTCTTTAAGTTATGTTATGTTTTTTTTGTGTTTGTTTGATTGTTTTTTTTAATCGTGTTACATTAGTTTTATTTGTTTTTTTTGTTCAATTGTTTTGCATTTTCGCGAATTTTCTATTTTGTTGTTGTATATGAATTGATTGGCTTTTGTAGACTAAGCTGATTAATCTCAATTCGGCTTTTTGGCATGCTTGCGATTTCTATTTATTTTTTTTTTGTTTGTTTTTGTTCAAGTATTTTTCTCTCATTAGCTCATTTTGTTGTATGTATGTATGTGTACGTATGTACGTAAATCGCACACGTTATTAATTTGCGCGTTTTCGTGTCGTCTCTGCTTCGTCTGTTTCCAGATACGATGGTCTGCACCGGCTGCTGCGCCACCCTCGATCACATTGTAACATATTTATTTAAACAGTTGACCCAAAAAGGTGAGTCTTTACTTTGGTGCTGGTGCTGTTTTGTAACAACAACAATCTTGTATTTGTATTTTCAGCGTTTCCTGGTAAGAAACCTGTGGTGCCGATCAGTGACATGTTCTTGAAGGTGCTCGAGGTGCATCCGGAGATCCTGCAGCAGATCCTGAGCACCGTTCTGAACGTGATCATGTTCGAGGATTGCAGAAACCAATGGTCCATGTCGAGGCCGCTGCTCGGACTGATCCTCCTGAACGCCGACTACTTCAATCAGATGCGCGAGAACATCATCAGAAGTCAACCGCCCGACAAGCAGGCGGCGATGGCCCAATGGTTCGAGAACCTTATGGAGGGTATCGAGAGGAATCTTTTGACGAAAAATAGAGACAGGTATGTGTGTGATGTGTGGTGTGATGTGATTGATGATGCGTCCTGTCCTGTCCTGCCCTGTCCTGCTACAGCATCAATAATGATGATTCGTTCGTTCTTGTTTCAGGTTTACGCAAAACCTGTCGACGTTTCGCAGAGACATAAACGATTCTTTGAAAGGACCCAATGTTAATACATCAGTTAGTGATATGATGACATCATAGTGATTTTAAGTACATAAAAGAAATGATAATTTTCTCCACACGTTGTTTTTCTTTTTCATCATTTTTTTTCTCTATTTTATAATGTTTTTAAATTGCCGAATTAACTATACTCACTCTACGCATTATAGATTATATTATTATTATTATTGTTTTCATTGTTCTTCTCTAAATGTCTCTTACTGCTACAACGCACTCTCTTCACTATTTCTCATTCATTCATTCACTCACTATTCATTCTGTTTCTCTCTGTCTATTTGTTTACAAATTATATATATATATTTATGTAGATTAGATACTGTACGTTGTTTCTACTCTTCTGTCTTCGGAAGTAGATTATGAATGAATTGTTGTATGCAAATGGAAGAAAAAACAGACATAGTGAAATTCGGAGAGAGGTGGCGAGTCGGAGATAGATTATAAATATTATTGAAGAAGGAGTGAAGAAGCAGAAGAAAGAAGGGATGTTTGATGAAGATGATTCATAATGAATGAATGAATGTTTGTGTAGTGTGTGTGTGCGTGCGTGCGTGTGTTACTGTGACTGCTGCTGTGTACAAAAAACGACGACGACATCATTGCATTTATTTTTGTACTGCAATTATTCTCGTCTTTACTCTCTCTCTCTCTCTTTCTATCTGCATATCAAAAACTACATTCATTCATTTATTTTTTTCTTGTTTTAAGCATCGGAACGCATTTTTTGTTTTACTTTTACAATTCATCGACATTATTTCAATCTTGTTTCACATAGATACATACTGTATTATTTTTATATTATTGTTTGAAGCGACCACAACACTAACTATCCCCCTCCCCCCCTTTATTTTGTTTTTGTTCTCTTTATTCAAACAGCCTACTATCTTGACTATCTCTTTGTTGGACAATAAAAGAAAGATTAAATACAAAAACTGAAAGTAATTACAAACTGATGAATACAATTGCAAAATCCGCCCGTTTTCTTTAATTTGCAAATTTCGTGTGTCGTGTGTACGTACGTAAGCAGTAAGTAGTATTCTATTATAAAGTGCACAAATACGAAATGTAAATTTGAACGGTGCCTGAACTACAATATTTAAAATATTGCTAACAGATGGCGCTAGTTGTTTAAAAATAAAAACGCCTAAAGTGCAGGCAACCAAACACTATTACGAAAACCACGATGACAACACAAAGATATATGTAGGCTCGTTCGAAAGGTGAGCTTTTCAGCTTTCATACAAGTGGTCAATGATGTAATTATCTTAAGGGGTTGTCGAGATATTCACGAAATGAAAAAAAAATCGAAAAAAACGTCGTTTCTCTGTTACGCAACAAACATTACGTAACTTTTGTTACGTAAAAAGTTGCGCAACGCTTGCGTGCATCTGATTATGCAATAAAATCATAAAAAAGTTTATTACTTTTCAAGAAATTCAAGAAAAATTAAAAACATCAGTTTTTGTGAAAATTCAATTCACCTTTTTTCCATTTTGTACTGCTCATAGCAGGCGAGTCGGCAGCAGTGCGAAGATGCGAAGATGCCAGTAGGCTCGTTGGAAAGGTGCGACATTCAGCTTTCATACGAGTGGTCGATGATGTAATTATCTTAAGGGTTTGTCGAGATATTCACGAAAAACTGAAAAAAAAAATTGAAAAAACGTCGTTTCTCTGTTACGCAACGAACATTACGTAACTTTTGTTACATAAAAAGTTGCGCAACGCTTGCGTGCATCTGATTATGCAATAAAATCATAAAAAAGTTTATTAGTTTTCGAGTTATTATCGAAAAACTGAAAACATCAGTTTTTGTGCAAATTCAATTCACTTTTTTTCCAATTTCTACAGCTCATAGCATGCGACTCGGCAGCAGTACGAAGATGCTTTTAGGCTCGTTGGATAGGTGAGACACGAAAAACTGAAAAAAAATCGAAAAAAACGTCGTTTTTCTGT